TGGTTGTACCTGCTTTTACTCTTTTAGGTTTTCCTTGGACAATATCCTGGACAAAGGTCTCCATGTCACTTTCACCTGGCAATTTTGCCAAAATATTCAGGGCTTTCTGGTAACTGCTCTGCATTGTATTTGCATACGAGATTGGTATAACTGGGGGACAGTTACTAGTGTTAAGTGGTGAAGATGTGTAAGTGCAGCTGCAGGGATGTTTTCACACCATGTCAAGTCAACTTCTCTCTGCAACCTCCTGTTTGTAGTTTCTGGATGAGGATTTGCAGAGACTTGGGGGGTTCCTGTAGAATACAGTGGGAGAGAAGGTAATGAATTGAATGGCTGGGGTGTCAGAGAGGAGGGACTTAATTTGGAACCATTTAAGAATAAAATCAGGGGACCAGAGAGATAGTACAGTGGGCAAGGCCTTGCCTTGCATATAGCTGACCTCGGTTTGATCCCTGGAACCCCATATGATCCCCTGGGCACCATCAGGAATGATTCCTGATCCCTAAGTGATCCAGGAATAAGCCTTGAGTACTGCTGGGTGTGGTCCAAACACATCAAAACAAATAAATAATGAGAGAGAGAGAGAGAGAGAGAGAGAGAGAGAGAGAGAGAGAGAGAAGAGAGATTGAAGCAGATGTTTGATTGCTGGGAGTACAGAGTTAGACTGCATGGTTGCCCAGTACTGCTGGTTGTGGAAAATGGAAAGAAAGAAAGAAAGAAAGAAAGAAAGAAAGAAAGAAAGAAAGAAAGAGAGAGAGAAAGAGAGAGAGAGAGGGAGGGAGGGAGGGAGGGAGGGAGGGAGTGGGGGGAGGGAAAAAAGGAACAGAGAAAGAGAGGAAGGAAGGAAGGAAGGAAGGAAGGAAGGAAGGAAGGAAGGAAGGAAGGAAGGAAAGCCAGACACATTTGGGGAGGAATTGGATATGAGTGGAGTGAGGGAAAGAGAAATAAAAGTAAACACCAGGCCTCACCAATGCCTAAAAGCGGAAGTGGATGAGGGGGGAAAGAGTCAGGTGGGTGGCGGCAAGCAGGTGAGGCCTACTTCAAAGACCTAAGTAGAAGTTGCTATACTGTATTTTATTGCATAAGCATCCTATCCCACCAACCTTTTTGTTCCTGTCTAAAAATCGGCTTGTGACCTTTCATTGCATTCTCATCCTCATCCCATGGTGTAACTGTGTCTGTTCCTCATGGCGCTTTAAAGGCAAGCAGACAGAAATGTATTCACCGGGGCATATGCAAGCAGGTCTGTCTTCCCACACTGCAGGTCACGAGGCAAGAATTCTCAGTCACTCAGGGCCAGAGACTTAGCGCAGGGGGTATGACACTTGCCTTGCATGCAGTGGCTGCGGGTTCCATTTGAGGCACAACAATGGTCTCTAGAGTAGTACCAGGAGTGACCCCTGAACACAGTAAGTCCCGGGTTCCTCTAGGTGTGACCCCCCCAAACAAACACTCAAATACAAAGAGCATTGTCACTCAACCAGAAAAGAGCTAAAGGCCTATGGAGCTGGTGGGCAGGCTGAGAAATTCATGTGATAAGGCAAGGCTTCCATCTTACTGCCCCATTTGGGATGTTAATCTTTCTCTTTTATTTAGACAGCATGTACATAGTTGCTTTACGTTCCCCCCTCCAGTCCCATCACACTGTGTCCACATCCTTCCAGTACTTACCCCAGACTCCCTCTTGCCCCTATCCTGACTCATTGGCAGATTTCTAAGTTTAATTGTTGTAGTTTGGGTCCCGTGTTCATGCACTGGGTCAAGTAGTTTAGATAGACACAGATACTTTGTCTGGACACCATAGAGGGGCCCAAGAATCTGACCTTTGCCCCTTTCAAATCTCCCCTTTTTTAGATCACATCTGTTGGTTATCAGGGCTTGTTCCTGGCTCTGAACTCAGGAATCACTTCTGGCAGGGCTCGGGGTGCTGGGGATTGAAACCAGGTTGGTTGTGTACAAGGCAAGTGCCTTACCATTGTGCTGTCTCTCTGGCCCAAGACTCTTCTTCTTGTTCCACCCACCCCCATTTCTCTCTTTCCTTGGCATTATTGTTGCTGCAATCTACTGCCAGTGTTTTGCCCACCTTTGTTACCTCTCATCCCTAGCCATGTTATCTATATACCACCAATTAGTGAGAACATCCAGTGTTTGACTGAGAGACAGTTCAAAGTGGTAAAACACATATTGGAGACACTGAGTTTGATCCCAGTGCCACACAGACCCCTGGGTACCATTGCTTGTAGCTCTGGGCCCCAGTGTCCCTGGCCCGAGCAGAAGACAATCACCCTCCTGAACTGGGTCTACACTACTGGACCAAGTACAGTCAGGCCCTCTTCCCTAGCCCCAGTCCCTGCTACCCCTGCCCACCATGCTGCTACTCAGGGCCAGATTAATACTACAATGGGTAGGGCCCTTGCCTTGCTTTCATATGACCTATGTTCAATTCCTGGCACCACATATGGTCCCTTAAGTCTTCTAGGAATGGTTCCTGAGCACAGAGCCAGGAGTAAATTTTGAACACAGTTGAGTGTGGCCCCCACCTCCCAAATATGCCATGCTTATTGAGCTGATGCTAAAAGAGGAGAGAAGAATATAAGAAAACTGAAGTGGCAATGTGGGGGTGGAGGGAAGTGGTGAAGACACTCATCTGTCTGCAACAGCATGGAGACACCCTCCTCTTTGAACTAGACCCAATATTCTTGTCGATTCCTGGTGGAAGACTGGAGCCATTCCTATTCCTATGAATGGCCGCCATTAGCACGTTGGTTCTGGTTTGTCAAGTTTTTTTTGTGCCATACCAGGAGTGATACCACAGCGGGTAGGGCGTTTGCCTTGCACACGGCCAATCTGGGTTCGATTCCTCTGCTCCTCTCAGAGAGCCCGGCAAGCTACCAAGAGTATCCCACTCACCCAGCAAAGCCTGGGCGAAGACACTCATATTGGATATGCCAAAAACAGTAACAACAAGTCTTACAATGGAGATGTTACTGGTGTCTGCTCAAACAAATTGATGAACAATGGGAGGACAGTGCTACAGTGCTACCTGGGAGGGGTTCCGGGGCTATGCTTGGCTCAGTGCTGGGGATGGGGCAAGTCTAGGCGGTGCTGAGGATGAGTCCTAGGCCTCCCACATGTAAAGCATGTGTTCCAGCCCTTTGCACTCTCTCCTGGTCCCCATGGCTGCTTTTGGAAATGAGAATTGTGCTCTATGATTAAAGCTTGTCCCCAGCAGAGGAGACCCCAAGGAAGGTGGCAGGGGCTTTCAGGCAGGTTTCATCAACAAGTTGCTGAAATATTTTCAGCAACAGAAGCCTCTGCTTTGTGCCCCTCAGCAGGCGCCTTGCAGGGCCGCACTCTTCCTGCCTCCCTTCCCTCCAGCAAGCATCTTTGTCTTGACAACCCATTCGCACCTCATTTGGTCACTGGCAAGAATCCCAAAGCCGCCTGCCCGCCTGCCCAGTGCTTCTGCTTGGATCTGCTGTGAGCTTGCAACAGGAGTCAGGTGGCCTCTGAGATGTCAGGAGCGAGGCAGATGAAGAGAAAATTAAACTCTCCTCCAGCTGGGCAGCCCCCGTTTGATGTCAGCAGCAGAGGGACATTTTGCTTCCGTGCCTGGAATGGCAATGCATGGAGAGAGGGCTGGGTGGGCTGTCGCTGTGGCAGCGGGCAGCCGTGCCAAGAGGGGGGGTGCCCCCACAGCTGTTCATGGGCTTTGAGAGACCCCTTGGGCCAGAGTGGGTGCCAGCAGCCCCTGCTTCTCTTCCCCGGAGGCCTGCACTCGGCATCCCTGTCAGGCATCTCCAGAGTGGCAGAGTTGCATTGCTACTGGAGGTGGGATCTATTAGGATCAAGGTCACCTGCTTGCCCACATGCCAGACATTCAGGCTGTTGGGTATTTGCTTGAGAACAAAATGATTTGTTGCTTATTTATTTTGACTCATGAAATATTCCCTGAACAGGGAGAGATGGGACGGTTGGGCAGGAGGGTTTGGAGGTGGGGGAGCAGTTGTGTTCAGGAAATTCTGAGTCTTAGAAGGGGCCTGGAGGCTGGGGAGGTCACACAGGACTGTGGGGCAGCTTAGTGCAGGGTAGGAAAGCTGTGGTAAGTAGCTGGTGCACAATTAGGATTTTTCTTTTTGTGGATGGGGAATATATGTGTTTTGGGCCATACCCAGTGGTGCTCAGTGGCTATTCCTGACCCTGTGCTCAGAGATCACTTCTGATGGTGTTTGGGTGGCCATATGTGATACCGGGGATTTAACCAGGGTCAGATACATAAAAGACAGGAAGGCAGAAAGAGGCACGTTCCCTGCTGTCTATCTCTTAGACTCCCGGGGGCACAGCGTGGTGGGGGAGCTGGAGATGTAGGGGGCAGTGTGGTGAGGGTGCAGCTCCCCACTGGGCCTGGTTTCCACTAAATAGGGGGAAGGGGTGAAGGTTTCTGAGCTGAGGGAGGGCATGAAGACAGATTCAACAGAGAAGATGGGCATAAAGAAGGATGCGGCCCTTCTGGTCACTCTTTGGAATCTGCCTCGGAAGGAGAGGCTTTATGGTTCCTGTCACTAGGGTAACCAGGAGCACTCACACCAGCTCAGTCCTGGCTGCTGGGACTCAGTTTCCCAGGAGAGACCCAGCACCTATGGGAGGAGGCATCTGTCAGTGGAGAGGGAGAGAGAGAGAGAGACAGAGACAGAGAGACAGAGAGAGACAGAGAGAGACAGAGAGAGACAGAGAGAGAAACACAGAGACAGAGACAGAGAGATACAGAGAAAGACAGAGATAGACACAGACAGAGACAGAGAGACAGGAACAGAGAGAATATGTATGAGAGAGAATGTGACAAAGACCAAGATACAGAGAGGGAGACAGAATGTGCGTGTGAGACAGAGACAGAGAAAATTTGTGTGTGTGAGAGACAGAGGCAGACAGACAGGGGAGCTCAGAGTGACAGGTATCGGGCCTCCAGGCTGCCTCACCTCATGTGTTACCTGGACTCGCAGGTGACTGCTGGCTGCTGGCAGCCATTGCCTCCCTCACCTTGAACGAAGCTCTACTTCACCGTGTGGTGCCCAGGGACCAGAACTTCCAGAAGGACTACGCGGGCATCTTTCATTTCCAGGTACGTGCATGTACAATTCAGCCCATACTGCTGATTTCCTGCTCATGGGCCCCACCCTAGATCTGGGGTACCTGCCCCTTAGGGTGGGGTCCAAGCCTTGGCATGCATGATTGTGGGCCAGATGCATGCAGGAGAACCGCTGCCAGCATGCCTGGTGTTCTGTGCCCGAATTTGTCCTGTTCCTAAAGCCAGAGGAGGATGCTGGATGGATGTGGTCATCTGCGAACTCAGCCCTGGGCTGCCCGGGTCCTGCTCCAGCCAGTTTCCCCATTCATGGAGCAGCAGCTCAGAATCGGCAAGGAGCATGTGGTCCAAGACTTAACCATGGGCCAGGTGTCCTCTGTGTGCTGAGGGAGGATGGGTTTGTGCCCTCACCAGCAGCTGTTGTGTCCTTCCACCCTCAGTTCTGGCAGTATGGAGAGTGGGTGGAAGTGGTCATCGATGACCGGCTGCCCACCAAGAACGGGAAGCTGCTCTTCCTCCACTCCGAAGCCAGCAACGAGTTCTGGAGCGCCCTGCTGGAGAAAGCCTACGCCAAGTGAGTGGGTCTGGTGGGACCTCGAAGACTACGCATTCTCCTGGGGATCTCACTTGTCCCTGCCAGACCCCCAGCACGCCATGCTCAAGTAATCCTTAGAAATCAAGAGACATGGGGATTTAGTTCAGACCTTAAAAGCTTAGCTCTGCTGGGCCCAGAGCAATCCTACAGCTGGTAGAGCATTTGCCTGGCATGTGGCCAACCCCAGGTCGATTCCTGGCACCTAATATGGTCCCTGGAGCCCCACCAGGAGTGATTCTTGAGCACAGAGCTGTAGTAAGCCCTGAGCACCCATTGGCGTTCTCCAAACAATAACAAAATGAGTAAGTAAAAGCTCAGCTCTGCCCCATGTGAATCTGTGGGTTGAGGGAGGCCCTTACTTAGCCTTTCCGCCTCTTAGCTTGTTCCTCTTTCCACCCGCACAGTCAATGGTCAGGTCAGTGTGAGTCTGTTTATGTGAAATGCCAGGGCCTTCCTCAGGGCCGGAACCTGGTAGGTATATGTTCTGCCACTGGAGCCCCCAGCCCCCAATCAGAGGGGAGTGCTCCCCCAGATGAAGAGGAACACAAGTGTCCTTAGATATAAAACTCAAGGATGTTGTCTTCCTTTTCCAGGTGTCAGTCTCCTCACTGGCACATCCTTTTTTCTTTTCCTTTTTTGGTGGGGCGCAGGGGGGATTTTAATTAGCTCCATTGACTGGAACTCTTGGCTTCTTCCCAGTCCTGTTTCCAAAGCAGGCCCCGAGGGGTGGGGCTTTGAGACAAACTCCTTCAACCTTACACATGCCCTCAAGCCCAAGGAATCTTGGGACCAGGGCAGCTCTAGTAAAAGACACATCCATTGGTGCTCAAGGCTTACTCTTGGATCTGTCCTCAGGTATACTCATGGTGGTACTCAAGGAACCATATAAAGCTCTAGGACTAAAATGGGGGTTGGGGGCTGAAGTGATAGCACAGCGGGTAGGGCGTTTGCCTTGCACACAGCCAACCCGGGATAAATTCCCAGCATCCCATATGGTCCCCTGAGCACCGACAGGAGTAATTCCTGAGTGCAGAGCCAGGAGTAACCCTTGTGCATCGCCAAGTGTGACCCAAAAAGAAAAAAATAAGAAATAAATCTGTCACTGTCACTGTCCTCCTGTTGTTCATCGATTTGCTCGAGCGGGCCCAGTAACGTCTCCATTGGAGACTTTGTTGTTACTGTGTTTGGCATATTGAATACATCACGGGTAGCTTGCCGGACTTTCCAAGAGGGGCGGAGGAATCGAACTCGGGTCGGCCATGTTGGCTGCGTGCAAGGCAAACGCCTTACCGCTGTGCTAAATAAAAAAATAAAACTGTGATCTGCATGTAGAGCAAGTGCTTTAACTCCTGTGCTATCTCAGCAGACCTGGGAAGATTGCTTTCTAGTCAGTGCTTGGGCAGTGGTGGTCTGAGATGTAATCCAGAGTGCTGAGCTCAGAGGCTTCTGGCCCGTGGTCAAGTTGTCAGAGGTTTTCCTCCTCTCCTTCCAGATGACACTCCTGCTCCCAACGCTGTGGTCCCTTGGGGTGGCCGGTGGCTATGCAGGTGAAACTCTCCTTCTCTGCCAACAGGCTCAATGGCTCCTATGAGGCTCTCTCTGGAGGATCCACTGTGGAAGGGTTTGAGGATTTCACCGGCGGCATCTCAGAGTTCTTTGACCTGAAGAAGCCACCAGCCAATCTGTACCCCATCATCCGGAAAGCCCTCCGCACAGGGTCTCTGGTGGCCTGCTCCATTGATGTGAGCAAGGATGGCTTCTTTGCCCCTCTCCCCACCTGTGGTAGGGAAGGGATTGGAGGGGGGCAAGTGGTCTGGGCAGGTTTGGGGACAGAGCAGTAGCCACAACATACTGGGCAAGTCCAGTGCCATGTAGTTCCCTGTCACACAGGACTAATTAAGCCATGATTAGTGGGTTGAAACTGGGGAGTCCTATCAAAGGAGCCTGTTTCTGGAGAGACCCTTTAGTGACATGGGAATTGTCCTGAGAATATGGCCTTAAAGCCCGAATCTTATGTTCTACCATTGCATCTCCACTTTTTACTTAGTAATCTTGGATTTTTAAAAAATTATTATTATTTAAAAACAATTTTGGCTCACACACAGCAGTTCTCAGGGCTTTCCCCTTAGCTCTCTGCTCAGGAATCACTCCTGGCCATGCTCAGGGGGACCATATGAGATGGTGGAATTGAGCCAGCATCAAACACATGTAATGCAAGCATCTTACCCCCTGTACTATTTGTAGGCCCAACTTGAGACTCTAGAATACAAATATGATGATTGACAATGCTTGATAGACTTTGAGACCCCTGAAGAAAAGGTGCGAGGTAGTGGGGAGGTCCTACCCCAGGGATCATGGCCTGCAGAAGGCATGAACTGACCATGTTTCTGGGACACCAGAGCATGGTGACCACAGGTCCTGAGTCTGTTACCACCTGACCCTCTGCTGGCTCTTCCTTTTACTCTTGCTCCTGCTGGGCACATTTAGACATGTGAACAAACAGAAAGAACATGCCCCCTTTCTGCTGTCTCTAATACCCCCAGCAGGATAAATGTGTTTTGGGAGAAGTCACGAGTGGGGTGTGGTGGGGAGAGCTTTTGAAAGAGGAAGGGTGATGGGGACTCTACTCAGGGAGGATGTTCTAGATTGAGGACATATCAAGAGCCATGTCCTGGAGAAGTTTTTGCTTTTTGTGTAGTGTGGGTTCATCCTGGAGCCATATGGCATCTTCTCTGGCATGGCAGGGTTAAAAGCAGAGGGTCAAGTTATTGCACCCACACTCCCAGTCCCACACTCAGTTCCTCATGGCTGTGTACTGTGTCCCCTGATAGCACTGTCATTGGACACAGCCAGCCAGGCAGGGACCTGCCACCCTGAGTGCATGTCATTCCTACTGCAGGTGTCCAGTGCTGCTGAAACCGAAGCCATCACCAGCCAGAAACTGGTGAAGAGCCATGCTTATTCTGTCACTGGCATTGAAGAGGTAAAAGACAACAGAGGAAAAGGGAAGGTTCTGGGAAGGGATATGACCAGGCAGCCAGCATATTCCCCAGAGAAAAAATTGGGGATCATCCACAGCTTCCCTGCTCTGCTGAGGGGCATCTCCCCTGCTCAGAATCCCTCACCTTTCACAGGCAGCTGCTTCTTGCTCATTCCTAGGCCCTTTAGACCCTTCACATGGATCCTCTCAAGTGACAGTTTCATGGATAGAGCAAAATGTACGGCCCCCCCTGCCCCCACCACCTCGCCTTTAGATATGGCTGGGGAGAAAAAAGAAAGTTGCAGAGGAAATGTTTAGAAATGGTCATATATAACGGTAGCACTGTAGCACTGTAGCACAGTCCTCCTGTTGTCATTGATTTGCTTGAGAGGGCACCAGTAATGTCTCCATTGTGAGACGTTTTGTTACTGTTTTTGACATATCGAATACATCATGGGAAGCTGGCCGGGCTTTGCCGTGCAGGTGGGATACTCTCACTAGCTTGCTGGACTCTCCGAGAGGGGTGGAGGAATCAAACCCGGGTTGTCCGCATGTAAGGCAAATGCCCTACCCACTGTGCTCTCACTCCATCCCCATATATAACTATATCCTATAATATATGCCTATATTCTACATGTTTTCCAAAAAGGAGGCTTGAATATAGAAAGTAGCAGAAGCCCTTAAGATGCCCATGTGGGAGAAAAAGGGCAGAAACAATTGTCCTGCCTTTCAAGTCGGTGGTTTAAACTCATGGAAAGCAAGGCAGGTATCCCTCTCTCCCCAACCCAAGGAGAAAGCAAAGACTTCACTTTTTATTATTTTTTTGGTCACTATAGCCCCCCTCCTTCCAGAAAATATTTGAGAAAAGGCATACACACAATACAACTAGCAATTAAGGTGAAGTATGTGCTACCATTGAAGTATGTGCTAGATTAAAACTGTGCTACCATTAAGACATTGATTTTGCTATGGAGTTCACAATGGCCAAGGCTCTTGTTATTCATTAAAAAGAAAAAAGGGAAAAAAAACCCCAATGTCTGATAGAAGTTACAGAGGAGAGTAAGACAATGGAAACCAAGCAATTCCCCATACAGGTGTCCCTAAGTGCAAATAGTGTCGAATAGGTGTCAGGGCAAGATGGTGTGTGACTTAACAAGTATGGACTTTGGGGACAGACAGGTTAGGTGCCTGTTCTCCTGCTGCCACTTACCAGCAGGTAATCTTGGATCACTTAACTTCTCTTGAGTTTCAGAGTTTTTGTACTATAAAATAAAGAGAACAACATCACCCAGCTCCCAAGAAGTTGGGACATAATGCATTTTGAAATGCGTAACAACTTATAGTCGGTGCCCGTTAATGCTAGCTGCTGTGCTATTAGTATCTGTCTTGACAGTGCTTTAGTGTCATTGGGTGTTAGATATCAAGAACAGAGTCAATCTTTATCAACTCTTGAATATGACACCAAGTTAAAGGAGACATAAGCTTATAATTGTGCTAGAGCCCCAAATGAGTCGATGCTACTGTGAAAAACAGTTGACAAAGACCTAAAAGCGTTTGGAGAAAAATGAAAAGATGGTTATGCTGGGACATTTGAAAAATCACAGGCAAACTGTCAGAGATGTGTGAGCACCAGAGCGCGGCAATTCAACTGCTTTTGTGTGTGTATTCCACGCAGGTGGATTTCCGTGGCCGCTCAGAGAAGTTGATCAGACTCAGGAATCCGTGGGGTGAAGTGGAATGGACGGGAGCCTGGAGTGACAAGTAGGTTCTTTCTTTCCCACTGTCCCCCACCTTCCCTCTAGTCCTCTCCTCCCTCTGCAGAAAAGCATTCCGCTCATTGCAGCCATGATCACCCTTTGTGTCCACCAACTGTACAGACTATTCAGAAAAGAGGAGTACAGAGTTCAAAGAGCAAAAGGAAAACCCGCGTTGCTGGGGTCTTTGATTCTGAGACTCTCCCTGGTCTTTGAAAGTTTGGTAGAGCTGTTCAGTTTTGCTCAGTGCTGAAGGGTCAGCGGCACCAACCTCACCACACCTCTGTGATCCAAAGGTGGAATCGATCACTGGCAATCAGATTCTTTCCACTCCGCAAGTGCGGGATGCTGTGATAAAGGCCACAGCCCTGAGTCCCGAGAGAAAATCATACTTAGAAAGGGCCAGGTCATCCGGGAGTGGGCTGCCATGCAGTGGCAGTGATGCAGCTCATTACAGGCAGGGATTGATCTTTGCAGCAAACTCCTAAAGGACTGTTGGGTGGGCCTTTCCCAGCACAGAAAACCCAGGGGAGATGGTTCCTGACACAGGGGTTTCCCTTGACATTCCTGTGGATCATTGCCCCTTGCTCTGTGGTGCTGAGGGGTGGAGAGGAAGGGATACCAAGATCTTCACCCTTTTAGCACCACTATTATGTCACTAAGGAGGTGCCACCAGAAATGGCCATTCTCCATAACTCCCTTCCAACACACCCATGTACCAGGAGCTAAATGCCAAATGCCAAATGCCATGTTCTTGAGGGGACATGGGAACTTGATGGGAGTTTCTAATGGGAGCTTTCTGTGTACTCAACCATATTGCACGTCTTTACTTTTGTCTTCTGTACCAAGGGTTATGGGTTGGCCTTTGTAGAGGTTTCATGACAGGCTTAGGACTGAGAAAATATCCACACCTTAATTCTGTCCACTGACCAAAAGGCACACACACACACACACACACACACACACACACACACACACACCACTCTGGCTGTTTTATTTTATAGTGATTTATGTATTTTTTTTAAATTGAGGTAAGGTTGGTTTATAAGACTGTGTATGAGTTAAGGGTACAATTTCATGAAGTGCATTACACACCACACTCACCACCAAAGCACTAATATCCCTCCACCCTAGCCCATTGGATTCCTCCCATCCTCCTCCGGAAGCCTTCATTTTGAAGAGTCCAAGTCCTTTCTGTGTTGTTTTGCTTTGTTTCCCTTGCTTTGCTACTCTTGAGATGTTGTCTGAATGAGATCATCCAATATATTTGTTTTTCTCCTTCTGACTTACTCCAGAGTGGTATTTGGTGGTTTGTTTCCTTGGTTTCTGGACTACGCCTGATAGCGCTTAGGGTTTACTCCTGGCCCTGTTCAGGGGTCTTTCCCGGTGGGGCTCTGGGGAACTTATGGTGCTGGAAATCGAAGCAGAGTTGACTGCATGCAGCAAATGCTTCATCTATCCTGCTACCTTTCCATTCCTGATTAGTCCAGAGTTTTAATAAAAATTCTGTCACATAATTAACACTTTTGTTAAATTAATTTTGTTAAGCCATCTACATTTTCTTTTAGAACATGAATTCATTTTTATTTGGACTGCTTGGTTTGAGCAGCTTTTGATACTAGAATTTAACACAGTGTTCCACCCGCTGTGTCAGTGCTCCTACTAATGATCCAAGGTTCCTTCCATCTCCCTACCCGGCCTCCTTAGCAAACTCATTTATTATTGTTGTTGTTGTTGTTGTTTTTGAGCCACACCTGACAGTATTCAAGGATGCTCCTGGCTCTGTCCTCAGGAATCAGACCTGGCAATGCTTAGGGGATCATATGGGTTGCCAGGGATGAAACCAGGGTTGGCTGCATGCAAGGCAAAGCACCTGCTTGGGTCCCCTGCCCTGTTCACACTCGTGTTAACTCTTATGGCTTTGATGTACATAGTCACCTCACCTTGAAATCACCAGAGTGTCCAAGATCCTTGATCTTATTTGTTGGCCACCCCACCTCCTCATTACCCTCACCCCCTTCCTTGGGTTTCTCAGTTGGTCTGGCCACGTTAATCCACAGCCACCAAAGGGCTCATTTGACTTTCTGTCCCTTGCTGCCACCCTGTCTCTATAGGCAGGGACAGGTCCAAGGATGGGACACAGTGGTCAGAGAGGCCACTTTTATATATTGTTTGCCCAGGCTGGAAGGTGCTAAGGGCACAGCCCAAAGTTTAGCCTAATTATTGGGGTGGAGAAACTATTTTCTGACATTGGGCGATTGGGATATGTATAACATGATTCACAGGCCGTCTATCACAGGAAGATGGACCATGGACAGCCACCAAGGAAATATCTGTGTCTGTCCTATCGCATCCTGGGGCCAGACCATATGGTTTCTTGGACCGTTTGTAGGCTACAGGGCTGGTCACTCCCCTCTGAGAGTGGGGAGATTTGGGTCCCAATGGGGATTCGCCAACACTTGCCTTAATCTTTGTTGATGACAACCCCATTTTGAGATGTATCACTGGCTCTGACCCAATTCATAAAATCATGTTCCAGGGGATTGGAGAAGTTGTGGGAGTGCTCCTGTCTGATCCCTAGGGGGTGGGGTTGGTCACTGTGTGGGCATCAGCTTCCCTGCAGGTGAGGGGAAGCCTTTGGGCTTTGCTGACAGAATTCAGGGAAGAGGGAGAAGGGATAGGAGAGAAGGAGGGGACTGGGGGGAGAGAGAGAGAGAAGAGAGAGGAGAGAGAGAGAGTGAAGAGAGAGAGGGGGAGAGAGGGAGAGGAGAGATGTTGATGCTGCTCTCATTTAGATATTATGTACATGGTTTAGGAAAGTCTCACTTTGTAAAGGCCAGGTAGGTGGAGATGGCATTTGGACCAAATAGCTGGGTATTGGCATGAAAAGGCCACCAGCAGACCTCCGTGGGTGACAGGACAGCTGAAGGAAGGCAGGGCCCAGCTGTCATTGTGCGGTGCAGGAAAGGGACTGGGTCCCTGTGCTCAGAGAGTGTCAGTCCTATCAATGTCTTTCCCTGGACTGAAGGATGAGCCCAGATGGGAGTTTTCACAGTGACACTGTGAGCTCCTCCCCAGCCCTGCCAGTCTGTGCCTGTTCCTGCCCTGTTCTGTCCACTGCCCTCCTGTTGGTGCCCACGATGCCCAGGAGCGTTGGTTGCAGAGAGGGCAGATCTTCCCTGCTGACCCGCCATCAAGGAATGATCCCTTCTGCTGCTGCTGTTTCTTAAAAAATTCATTCATTCCTTCCTGTGCCCCATAGTGCCCCAGAGTGGAATTCCATAGATCCCCGGCGAAGGGAAGAGCTAGACAAGAATGCAGAGGACGGAGAGTTTTGGTGAGAGCTGCGCACGGCTGCCCTGAACTCGCTTATTCCTGGGTCTGACACTGGCACACTCGCTCTGGCTGTTCCAGAATTCAGTGCGGTGATTGGCTGGGGCTGGGGAGTGTGGTTTTTGTGCATGTGTGTATGTGTGTGAGTGTGTAAGAGTATGTGTGTGTGAATGCGTATATTAGTGTGTTTGAGGGTGTGGAAGTGCGTGTGACAGTGTGTGAGTGTGTATGTGTGAGTATATGAATGTGTGTACATACAAGTGTGTGTGAGTGTATGAGCATAGGAGTGAACAAAAGTGTATGAACATGTGAGTGTGAGTATATGAGTGTGTGGAAGTGTTTGTGACAGTGTGTGTGAATATATGAGTAAGAGTGTGTGAGTTTGTGTATATATATGTGAGTGTGAGTGTATATATATGTGTGTGAGTATATGAGTATGAGTGTGTAAAAGTGTGTGAATGTGAGTGTGTAAAAGTGTGTGAATGTGTACATGGGTGTGTGTATGTGAGTGTATGAGTGTGTTTGAGTGTGTGGAATTATTTGTGACTGTGTGACTATATAAGTGAGAGTATGTGAGTGAGGGTATGTGAGTATATGTGTGTGTGTGAATGTATGAGTGTGAAAAAGTGTGTTATTGTGTGTGTAAAAGTGAGTGTGCCAGTGTGTGTATATGTGAGTGTGTGTGTGGCCTAGTGTAATTCAACTACTGTGCCTGTGTTTTTAAGACTCCAGAACCCTCCAAACCCTGAGCCTGGCAGTCAGCACGTCCCTCTGCTCAGTGAAGGGAAGCCCCAGCTTCTGTTCTGTTGAGTCTCCGACAGCAGAGATGAACAGGCAGGGGCGGGCTGGGGCTGCCTCCTGGGTGCCGTCCAGGACAGGGCTCAGCAGCTTTGGTGGTTCTGTGCAGAAGCGCAGAGCTGAGAAGAGCAGGGGGTCTGGGCACGGCCCCCTGTCAGTGAGCACAGCTTGCCTTGCTCCTGTTTCTGGCATGCAGGCCGCGCCTCTTGGACCAGGCCAATATCTCCTATAACCCTCTTCTTGTCTCCCTCTCCCTGTCTCCCTCTCTCCATCTCTCTCTCTCCATCTCTTTCTCTCTCTCTGTCTCTCTATCTCTATCTGTCTGTCTCTCTCCATCTCTTTCTCTCCATCTCCTTCCATCTCTCTCCATCTCTCTGTCTGTCTCTCTGTCTCTGTCTGTCAGTCTGTCTCTCTTCTATTTTGGCCACACCTTGCAGTGCTTGGAGCCACTCCCCTGTCAGTGCTCAGAGGCTGCTCCTGGGGATCATGCAAAGCCTGGGATGAAACCCGGGACTCCCTCTGTGCCATGTCCCCACTCCCCAGTCATCTCCTGCCTGACAGCCCTGGCTCCTTCCGCCCCCACAGGATGGCTTTCTCAGATTTCTTGAGGCAGTTCTCTCGCCTGGAGATCTGTAACCTGTCCCCTGACTCGCTGAGCAGTGAGGAGGTGCACAAGTGGAACCTGGTGCTGTTTAACGGCCGCTGGACACGGGGCTCCACCGCAGGGGGCTGCCAGAACCACCCAGGTGAGGCCCACAGCTGCCGACTGTCCCGTTCTAGCATGCTTCCCAGTGGGGTGTTCTCACATGTGCTGCTTCAGACATCCTCGAACAGTCCCGGGCATGCCGTGGGCCTGACTCTTGTCAAGGCCCTGCTTGACTGGGGCCTGAAGGCTCCTGGGGGCTGATCTCAGCTGCCATGTGTCCAAACAGAAGGGCATCCTCCTCGGTACTAACCCAGCTGGCACCATGCTGAGCTCACCTGGCTGCTCTTGGGACTGCTACTACCCCGCCCCGCTCCTGGGGATGCTCTGCTGCCGGCCACCACCTGGGGCTCCTTTAAGGCGGGGAGCCTTCCCCGGCTCACCCATGCTCACTCATGTCTACGCATGCAGGCTCATCCTAGGTCCCGAGTCCAGCGGCACCCGGGATGACCCCCCTGCAAACGCCACAGCCCTGCAGCTCTCAGGAGACACCAGGACTGCAGCAGCTGCCCCCGCCCCACCTCACCCCTCCCCAGGCGGGTGCAGACAGAGCATGTGCTCCCAGAGGAGGCAATGCAGAGTGCACACTTACTTAGACTCAAGGGCACAGTGCCCTAGGGGACTCCTGGGGGGGGAGGCTGTTTGAGTCCTGTGTGCCTTGGGCTTGCCTCCTCCCCCCCATCACTTTCTCCCCCACAGAGCTACATCAGAGCCAGGGTCGTACTGAACGCCCACACGGGTGCCCATGGGGAGGGGGGGCTTTAACTCAGTCTCTTCTCTCCTCCTGTGACTCCCCCTCTTTGGCCCCTGGATTCCTGGTTCCAGCTGCGGAGATGCTCTGAGCTCAGTTTAAAGGCGGCAGGAGCCTGGACAGTCCTGTGCCCCACGCTGAGCCTCAGCGTCCCTCATGCCCAGCCTGGAGCTGTGAAATCCACCTTTGGAAGTGCTTTGTGAAAACCGTGTAGCACTAGACAAATGGGATGGATTATTTTTATGGCCCATTCTCTTCCTCCCATTCTGTTAAGGAGTAAACAAAAAAAAAATGTAGGGATTGCTGAAATGTCGCATTTGGGACAAATTAAAATATGCTCGCCATTAGCAGGCTCTTAGAAAATGAGTAGGAAATTTGCATGGATCATTTTGGGAGCTCAGAACTGTAGGGGGTGCCTGAGGTATCTGCAGGCACGGAATCACTCTCCCATCTGTGCTGCCAACTAGCTGTCGGGAAGAGATGGATTGCTCTTGGCCTTTGGTAATGAGGTACGCAGAGATTACAAGAAGTTCCTGTCCCCCCCTGGAATCTGCAGTTACTTGGCTTTGAAATCCACATATTTGTGCCCTAAATAAAAAATACATATGTGTACCTCTATCTGGAAGTGGAGATTCTGGGACAATGGATTTGAGTAAGCAATCTGATAGGTAAGCAGCAACTCCGGGCCCCTGTGATTGTCTTGTCATCTCATCCCACTGGGTCTTTATTCAGAGCATGGAGGAACTTCTCTGTCCCCGCTTCTTTGGGTCTCCTTCTTTGGGATGCTTTATTACTGAAAATGTGGAGGCCATTCATGGCCAAGTCGAGTTCCTCCCATCCAGCTGAAGACTGGAGCATGTGTCTGCTCACTGACTGCCCTGCAGAAGCTATTGAGTAAGGCCTGCCTGGAAGGCTATGGGCTCCTTCCCAGTGTAGCTCTGGGTCCAGGGAACCTGTAATAGTCCCAGCCAGACGTGTCTGGGCTTCTGGATGAGCAAACAGACAGATGCAAAGTTTCCCTGTGCTTTGGGATGTGTCACTGGTGAGAAGTGGAGGGAAAAGGGAGATGGGAAGAAGAACTGGTAACCTTTAAAAGAAAGAGAACCTTCCAGGCCTGCATTTCAGGTGCAGTGACTAGAGTTCACCATCGATCCATGGGCATAATCAGGCGCTTCTCTTTCTTTTTCTCTCCTCATCATCCTGTATGTGTGGGGGGCTACCGCCATCTCCCGGGGGACTGACTTCCAGCCACTTACTGGACCAACCCCCAGTTCAAAATCTCCTTGGACGAGGTGGACGACAGCCAGGAGGAGAGTGCCAGCGAGCCCCTCTGCACCTTGCTGCTGGGTCTGATGCAGAAGAACCGCAGGCGGCAGAAGAGGCTAGGAGAGGGGATGCTCAGCATCGGCTACGCTATCTACAAGGTACCTCAAGCCGCTCACCCTTGACTCCACACTCATGGTTAGGGTGGGCATTTGGGGGGCCGGTGATTAGAAGGCATGTTTCCCACTGCTTGAATAGTCCTTTGCAGGTCATCTCCTTGCTCTCTGAAATGCTTCCCCTTTACTGATGCCGGGATTTCATACTTAAATATTTGTCCCTCTGTCTGGAACCTCTGCTGCTAATATTGAGGATCATTCATCAAACTTTGCTGGGGCTGGAGGGATGGTTACAGAAAGTATGGCATTTGCCTTGTATGCAAATCCGAACCAGTTCAGTGCAATCTTTGGCACCTGATATGGTTACTGTGCACTGCCAGGAGTGATCCCTGAGGGCAATAGCCCTGAGCACCACCAGATATACCCACCAAACCAAAACCAAACCCAAACCCTTTGCCTGCAAACATGTCTCTTAGTCTTTCCTCAAGTATAGGCCATAGGGGCCAAGAACGTGAAGTGGGTGGGTGGCAGGGGGGGCACAGGTCACTTGAAGGAATTCAAAGAATAATGAGAGACATCAGGGAGCAATGGAGAAGGAGCTTGGATGTGGGAGCTAAAGACACAGCCATTTCTGGTTCTGGAGGGTCTGGGTGGAGGAGCAGAGCCAGCCTGGAGTTGTTGTGTGTAGGTTGAGCCACCAGTCTACACTGGCAACTAGCCCCGTGGATCCCACAGTCTCAGAGTTATATAAAAGCAAGAGAAGCATAGAAAAGCTCATGGAACCTAGCTAGCAACAAATTGGAAATCACTTTTTCATACAGGCAAAGACTCCTTATAGCAAACTCCAGAGGGATTTATGGTGGTTGTTTTTATACAATTTTGTTAAAAATGAATTTCTTGGGAAAAATACAATTCTAATTACGAAGACCAAGAGCTGGCTGGAGGCCCGACATCGCAGTATAAATTACTGTGTGTAAAAGCAGCAATGTAATAAGAAGCCAGTAAAGGAGCATTGTCAAGCTCGCACTACTTCCAGCCCTTTTCCTCTCCCATTTTGGAACTCAGGGCTTTAGAGCTTAGGTTCTGTGTGTTTGGCTTTGGAAGAGTGGCAGTAGGAAAATAATTGGTGCATGGGCCAGAAAGACATTACAGGAAGTAAGGTACCTTGCATGTGGCTGACTGGGGTTTGATCCCTGGTACCATGTAGTCCCTTGAGTGCCAGGAATAATCCCTGAGCTCAGAGCCAGGAGTAAGCCCTGAACAGCACTAGGTATGACCCCCAAACCAAAACAAAGAAGCAAATTAAAAATGTAAAAAATAATTGCTGTTTGATAGCTAAGAGAAAAGAATTCCAAATAAACATTAAATAATAAATTCTTACTTCAGCTTGGACTTCCACCCCACCTAGAATGCAAAAAACACCAAAAGGACTCTTTTTGTGGGAGACCCTGACAAGGCTCCTTCCTCCCCAGACTGCTTCTCACTCAGCATACCTCAGGGAGCAGCTGCTACATGCAGGGTCCAAGATATAGGGACACGAAGACACTGAGGACTCAGTCTGGTCTCTGCCTGCAAGGTGCTCTGGTCCACAGGGCGAGGAACCAGATACCGCAACTAGCTACAGGTGAGGTTCAATCTGTTCTTATGGGGGCCAGCATGGGGGCTGAGGTCTCCTCAGAGGAATAGCTTTGTGGGCCAGGAGATAAATCAGGACTTTAAAAGATAAGCTGACTTTCAAAGGTGGAGAAGAAAGAATATTTTAGACAGAGGGGAACCATGACTTCTTCTCGTGTGTGTGTGTGTATGTGTGTGTGTGTGTGTGTGTGTGTGTGTGTGTTACTAGGGATTGAACCCAGGGCTTTGTATGCAAGGCACAAACTCACCCACTTAGCCCTAGCCCGTAGTGCCTATGTGCATCTCATGATGGTTTGGAGAGTTGGATGGGAAGAGGGTGACTAGTGGGTGGGTTCTGTGGAGCCCTGGCACCCAGTTCTTCCCCAACCTTACTGTGTATGAACCAGATTGGCAAAGCATCCTTCAAAGGGATGTGAGCTAACACAATGGAAATAGCTTGGTTGGCATGGCATTTGCTTTTATAAATAATAAATCAAGCATGTCAGTTTTCAGACATCAAATTATAGCTGATTATAGAATAACCCCATGTATGTGATCCCAGAACCTTCTTTGTATCGCCAGAGGCATAGAGTTTGAAGCAAGACATCTGTGAACACAAGCACTCTTAAACCGAGATTGTGGGGGCGAGGTGTGTGTGTGCATAGGGGTTCTAGTCAGAGGGATTAAGGATTGTAGGAGGTTCTGGGGCTATATGAGTATGTGTAAGTGTTTTCAGGGAGGCATGATTGTGGGGGATGTAAGGATTGTACAAGGGTGTGAGGGTTATAGAGAAGTGTAAGTATTGTATTGCAGGAGGGGGTATGAGGGTTGTGGGGGTATAAGGGTTGCAGGAGGCAGTGTAAGAGGTGTAAAAACAATGTAAGGATTGTACGAGGGGTATAAATATTACAGGGGCTGTAAGAATTGTATGAGGGGTTGTGAGGGTGTGAGGTGTAAGTATTATAGGACTGTGAGGGTTGTAGGAGGGGGCTGAGGGTTGTATGTGGGGTGAAAGTTTTGTGGGGTATAAGGGTTGTAGGGTTTGTGAGGGTTGTAGGTGTGTATGTGTTGTAAGGGGAGTGAAGGTTGTAGGGTGAGTGTGAGGGTTGAGGTACTGCAGAGGTGTAAGGGTTACAGATGGAGATGTGAGGGTTGGTGGAGGGTGAGTACTACAGGATGACTGAGGGTTATAGGAGGGCTGTGAAGGTTGTGACAGTGTAAGTGTTGAAGGGGTATTGGGTGGTAGGAGGGGGCATAAGGGTTGTAGGAAGGGGTATAAGGGTTGTAGGATTGAGTGTAAGGATTGTAAGGAGGTGGTGCTAGGGTTGTAAGGGTAGAGGAAGGGGGAGTGAGAATTGTGGGAGTGTAAATGCTATGGGGGTGTGAGAGTAGTGTGGAGAATTATGGGGGTCATAGGAGTTCTGGGGTTGTAGGCTGAGGCGAGGAACTTTTAAGGGTGACCATCCTCTGTTCCTTTCATCTGCCCCCTCTGGATGTAACTATCTGCTAAGAAGCTAGTGGCTGGAGGTCACAGCACCACCAGGAATGGAGCAGCAGACGTTGGTGTGGGGGTGGGGATGGGCACACCCCCCTCCTCCTTCCCACAAGACTGAAAGCTCCTGTGAGCAGGTCTGGTCTTTGCTATCAGGCTCCTGCCTTTCAGAGGCCTGTGCCTGAGCCTCAGTGTGACAAGCTAGGATGACTCCTGGGAGTATGCCAGTGGTGTGGGGGAGGTGCTGTGTGTCTGAGCAGGAGGTGCAGTCTGAGCAGGAGGGGACACTTTTGGCAGACCTGACACCCCATGGGCTGCTGCACAGGGGACTTTGTGCTTCTTTTGGGGCACTGGGCCACACCTGGTGGTGCTCAGGGCTTCTTCTTGGCTCTGTGCTCAGGGATCACTCCTGATGGGGCTCAGGGGACCATATGGGGTGCCGGGGATAGAACCCAGGTCAATTGCATGTAAGTCTTACCTGCTATATTATCTTTTTGGCTGGGGCTTAGCTCCAGAAAAGAGGTGTTACGAGAACCTAAGACTGTTCTTCCTGGGCTGCACATCTTAAGTGTGGGGTTTTGAGTGGGGTAGTGACCCATCCAAGTGGTCCCTAATTCTGCTTCCCAGAGTTGTAGCCAATTGTCCCAGACCTTCCTGCTCTTTCTGGTTCAGAAGGCCATGTTGCAAGGGCAATGGGTACATAAGGATAGAACGAGTGCTATCTCCGACCTGCACCTCTGGGGATACTTCCAGGGCTAACCCAGCTCCACGGTGGTACTGTCACTTTGGGCAATGCTGCCATTCAGAAATCTTCTCCTGGGCTCAGCCTGGCCTGCATGCCTGTTCTAAGGACCAAGGATGGGATGAATTAGAGCAAGAGTTGAATAAGATGCCACATCTGAGTAAGCCCTTGGATTCAGAAGTTGGGTCTGTAAGTTGTCAGCTCTCCTTAGATCCCAACATGCTCATTTCCTAGGACTGTAGGATCCTGTCTAGGCAATTAGCTTTTGTTTCTGTTTGGGGGCCACACCCTGCAGTGCTCAGGGTTGCCTCCGGCTCTGTGCTTAGGGATCATTCCTGGCAGGCCTCGGGGACCCTATGTGGTGCTGGAGATTGAACTGGGGTCAACCGCATGCAAGGTCAGTGCACCCTACCCACTGTACCATATCTTTGGGTCCCTGTATGGATTATGTAACCAGGGGCCTGAATGATAGTACAGCAGATAAGGTATTCTGCTTACACACTGCCGACCTGGGTTTAATTCATGGCATCCCTTATGATCTCCAGTGCACCACCAGTAGCAATTCCTGAGTACAGGGCTGGACTGACCTCTGAGCACTACTGGGCGTGGCTCCCAAACAAACAAAAATGTCTGGATTATAAAACCATAAAATAAATTAAAAAAGAAAAACCCTTCTGCCTCCTGGCTCCCTTGTGCCAATTTTAGGGCTCAGTATTCTACAACTGGCCTTGAAATCCACTCATGGTATTCTGGTGGCAGAAATTCTGAGTAAGTCTCTCTTGAGGATGAGCTTCCTCCAGGTGGCTCAGGATAGGGAGGGAAGCAAGGGGAGGTCTGGGAAATCGGGGTTGATTCTCCTCTCCTGTCCTGCAGGTTCCCAGAGAGGTACGTGCATGGGGCAGGACGTCTCCTTGGTAAGGAAGCTTGGCTGCTGTCCCTAGGGACAGACTGCAGCCGGAAACTCAGCTACCCACCCACACGCTCCTGCCTGCGGCCAGTGAGCTGGACACCCTGGGACTTGGGCAAGACAAGCCTGCACCCCATCTGTTCCTGCGGAAGGGCACCAGGATGACCTTTGCTCTGGCACAGCTGGTGATCTAATCCAAACAAGATAATGAGCACACACCTCCGACTTAGCTAGCCAATGCCTTGATCCCTGATAAGAAAGAGAAGCTGCCCGCATTATCTTCTTGGCCCCTGGCTCTCCTGGCGCCTCCTGGTGAATCAACACTGGATTAGAGACAGATCACAGTTGTCAAGGCTTCCTGTCCCAAGGTGCCCCCAGAGTTTCCATCTCACCTCGCTGGGTGAAGGAGGAGCTCTGGGCAGCCCTCTTGCCTGGCTTTCTGTGAGCGCATCCTAGCACAGTAAGCTGCTCCCCAAATGCTTACACACAGTGAGCTTCTCCTTCTCTCCTGACATCCTGGAGATACTCGGGACCTTTCAAAAGGTTTCAAGGGCTGAACGGTGGCTTAAAATATCTAAAGGCTAGACAGGTTGCTTTGCACGTGGGATCAAGCTCTGCCTTTGATCCCCTTTGATCCAGGGTGTGGTTCCCCAACACTGTGTGGTCCCCCAACACTGCCAGGCCAAACCAAACTTCAATCCCCACATTAAACCCAGGCCCATTTTGATGCCGGGATGATTGCAACGTGTAAGTGAGGCTTAGAATCTCTGTTCTGTCCAGCTGGAGTCAAACACACTCATATATGGTATATTCCCTTGGCTTAGCCTTCTCACACTTGATCAACGATTTGGCATGTGCCCCTGAGTCTCAGGCTGCAGACAATTGGTCTACCCTGCCCGCTGGCTTACAAATGCTTGTGATGGAGTATGGAGGTAACAGACCAGGGAGTAGAGATGATTTAGAGCCAGCATCTCTTCCCCATGAGAAAGCAATGAAATATAAACCTGAGTCAGCCTGGTCGATGAAGACCTTCTAGGGAAGGTCTCAGACACACACAGTCACACAGTACAACTCCCCCAGCATCACCTCCTGGTGTTGTCAGTGTGGGGTCTTTGTTTTGGGGGTGAGGGGGAGGAGGAAACTGCTTTGGAATCCTTGGTTCTTGAACCATTGCTTTTGAGTCACTTGGGGCTGGTGTTGGGGTGGGGGTGGGAGCTTGATAAAACCAGACTTTCTGGTTCTGCAGGTCTGGAGTTGTGTCCTGAGCATAGAGGGGACCAAGCCCTCGCCTCACTGTCTCCAAGCTCCCAGTCTGGCCTCCTAAATCAGACTTTTCGAGTCTGCCCACCCTTGTGTCTTTGTGAGAGCTCAGTTTACCTTTTCTGGGCCCTAGTTGAGCTCAAGTTTGCTTCACTTCATGCCCCAAGGCCATTTTCCAGTCCATTTCCTTCCCTTGTCATCATCAGGATGACAAAGTGACCGTGGCCACAGAGACGATAGCCCCGCCATCTCCTGTTTAGAGTGTGAACATAGTCAGGGGCAACCCAACATGCAGCAGTGGTCCTAGCATCCACTCTTCCTGGGGGCTGGCTGGGGGATCCCTGTGAGGGTTGGCTAGGGTCCTGAGAGCAGGGATCTTGCTCCCCACCACGTCCTTACCCTGCTGCTTAGCAACTTGGGACACCACGGTAAGTGTCTGGGAATCAGGCACTGTGTCTCTGGGGTGGACATGATGCCTCAGCCCGGCAACTTCTCTGCACCTGCCCTTTGACAGAAACATCATGATGAAGACAGTCTTTAGAGACAGAGTGCTGGGGGGTGGGCAAGGAGAACGAAGCCCCCTTTCCCTCTGCTGTCTCATGTACCACGGCCCTCTCCCTACATCAGATGGGTCAAGAGTAGTCAGGGCCCCAAGGGAGGCAGGAAGAACCCCAATCCTGTCTGGCTGCCAAGCTTCCTCCCTTCTCGCCCCTTGTCCTGGTTTCAGGAGAAACTGACTCTGTTGCTTTGTGCAGCTGGAGAACCACACGGACGTGCACCTGGGCCGCGACTTCTTCCAGCGCCACCGGCCTTCTGCTCGCTCCAGCACCTACGTCAACCTACGGGAGGTGTCAGACCGCGTCCAGCTGCCCCCGGGGGAGTACCTGGTGGTGCCGTCCACTTTCGAACCCTTTAAGGATGGGGACTTCTGCCTGCGGGTGTTCTCGGAGAAGAAGGCGGAGGCTCTGTGCGTGGATGGCCCTGGGTGGTGTGGGAGGGGCTGCGAGCAGGACGGGGTGTGGCCAGGTGTGGCTGTGGGCGGAACCACATCTTCCAACTGCAGTGCTTCCTGGGATGTGATCTGTCACCCCCTCACCTGTATGGTGGTCTCAAGTGCTCGTCACTGGCATTGTTGATGGAATTCTGGAATATTTAAAAAAATTTTTTTAGATTTATTTATTTATTTATTTATTTTTGCTTTTTGGATCACATCCAGTGATGCTCAGTGGTTACTCCTGGCTCTGAGCTCAGGAATTACTTCTGGCAGTCCTTGGGGGACCATATGGGATATTGGGATTGATTGGGATATTGGATATCGAACCCGGGTCGACTATGTGCAAGGCAAAACCACCCTACCAGCTGTACTATCTCTCCAGCCCCCCTGGGACATTTTTTTTGATTATTTTGTTTTATATTTTGATTTTGGGGACCACACCTGGAGGTGCTAAGAGTCTCCTCCTGGCACTGTGTTGGGGGGGGCACTCCTCCTGGAGCTCTGGGGACCAGGGGAGAGCTATTTTCTTCTTCATTGTTGATTCCGTCCTTTGTATTTAGGGAAATCGGGGACGTGATATCAGGAAACCCACACGAGGTATGTAGTCGCTGCCTATGTCAAATTCTCACTTTGGTGAGATCTTGTTGATGCAGAGTTCTTTGTCTGGTTGAGAATGGTGGTTTTTATCCAAAGCATCACAGTGTTTTCTGGGTTTTTACTTTTCATCACAAGCATGCAATGTGGGCAGTATTGGGATCTTAGGCTTTGTATATTTCTAATCCGTGGGGAATGTCTTAGTGCACCCCCTGCCCCACCTTCCCATCAGCAGAACCCTCCACATAGGTAGAGGAAGACAATGGGTGAAAGAGATCCAGTCTCGGATGCTTAAATTTCGAGGTTTGTAGAGGATAAATGATAGGGCACATGGAAACAATGAAAAATGAAGTAAAGTTCATGCCAGAAATGGATGCAAACCTGCGTGTGTATGCACACACATAGGTATGTATGCATGTGTGTAGTGTGTGTGTGTGTGTGTGTGTGTGTGTGTGTGTGTGTGTGTGTGTGTGTTGTGTTTGGGATCTGGGATAAGCACTTAATCTCAGAAGGATCCACAGAGGAGCTTATATGAGAGCAGCCTTGGGGAAATGAGCACCCAGGGTTTTACCTACCTCACTCCTTCACCTGCCTCCATGTCCACAATGAGCAGATGGCACATTTGTGGAGCAAATTGAGTGTTCCTGTGTTATGGGGGCAATGTCTTGGGGTCGTACCATGCTTACAGCCAGAGGCCACCAGCTCGGCTTCACAGGGACAGATGTAACTTCTACACTCCATTCTGTCTGCTCAGATACGTGATGCCTCTACACACAGAGCACCCCACAGATGCTGAGTTTCCATCATTGATCCTATGGGGGGGGGGTGGATATGTGGATATGTTCTATTCTTTGGCTCCGTATAAACTTTGTTTATTCACATTTCTAGAGATGCAGGAGAAGCTGCCAAATACATATTCCTCTTATCCTTCAGGGACTGGGGGGTCTTAAGGGGGGGAGTGGTTCTGTGAGTTTATTAGATAGAAATAGGAGACTTTTGGGGCTGGAGCAGTCGTCCAGTGCGTAGGGTGCCTGCCTTGCATGCATATTTATTCCCAGCACCCTGCACCCTACGCAGAGCGATCCCTGAACCCAGGCAGGAGTAAGCAAGGTGTGGCCCCCAAACAAAACAAAACAAAAGAGTAAAGAAAAGCAAAAGAAATGTGTGCAGCATCATCAGTTCCTTCACATTCCAGCCAGGGGAAGTCATTAGGTCAGTGACTAACAGCGCCCCCTGCCATCCCATCAGTCAAGTGCACTACAGGTCCTGGCACAATAGGTGATCTTTGCGGGTGGCTCTTGGGGATGGGAGCTGGACAGATGGTGCCGGCCCCTAAGGACCTTTCAGAGTGACCTCACCTGCTGTCACCCCAGATTTGTAAGGAAGGCCAGTATGAAGGGCAGGGATCTGAGCCTACAGTTAAGGTGGTGAGAAGGTCAATATCAGCAATTGTGGGGGTTCCCTCCACCCCCACCTCTCGGGGTTTCCCAAAGCACCAAAAGAACAGAATGTCTCTTCCAATCATGAGCCCCACTGTGTCCCTTGAGATGCCCACTCTCTCAGCTCACAAGTTCTGTGCAACTGGAGGCCTAGAGTCTTTGATGTGTTAGGGACCCCAGACCTAGGGTTCTCCCCCAGGGCTCCAAAGCATGGCTCTAAAGTCAGGAATTCAGGGTTCTGGGGACTTTCAAGGATATCTTGGACACTTACCTTGTGCATCCTATACACATGTGCATATGAGCACTCACACATGTGCACATGCACATATAGACATAATGTCATCAGAAGACTCGGCATTTTATAGGAGAGAGGAAGTGCCTTCAGGAATTTCTGTTTTCTAAAAAGTAGATGAAACCAAGCTAATTCCAAAGTAAAAGACAAAACCAAATCTGTTTGTAGAACTGAGGTTTCCAGAGGTGGGGGGAGAAAGGATGGAGGGGTCCAATGAACAGTAATGCAGAGATACTGGTACTCTGATGGTAGTGGGTGTGCTTGGATGCCATATATTTGGAGAGCGAGTCTGTACCCCTAAAAGCATTGTGCTGTGTTGTAACCATACAGATGCATTTATGGGTTGGAAACTAATATTACCTCAATTTAAAAATCAGTAACTGCTATTTTCCTCCTTCCAGAAATATCTAAGAGACGGACAGTCACATGTTTGAGGGGTCTGACAGTTTGTTTAGAATGGGAGAGGCAGAAGACAGTGGGTGAACCAGATAACTTTGGAACTCAGTTGGCTGGCTTTGAGCAGGTTATAAAGATGTCACCTCACCACATAACAGGATCCAGTAAAATTCTCATGGCTTTTGTGGCCTCACCTTTTACAAAACACTTCAAGCTCTCCTTTCAGGACCACCCAGTCATTTTGTTGAGAATAAGGATGATTTCTTTTCCCGCACCTGTCTCCCCATGAAGTGACACCTAGCATTGCTCAGGGGATCGTGCAGTGCTGGGAATTGAACTCAGGCCTTCTATATACTAAAAGAAACCATCTGCTCTGGCTATTTGTACCATCTTTCCAGCCTCAACAGTTATTTATTTTTATTTACTTTTTAAAAAATTTTATGCACCATGATTTATAACACTGTTACTGGTAGGGCTTCATGGGTGCAACGTTCCAACATCACACTCTCCACCAGAGCATCTACTTCCCTCCACCACCATTGTCAGTCCCCTGACCTCCACCTCATTCTACCAGACATCCCTTCCCCCACTGTGGAAATGCAGTTCTGTAGACCAGTTCTCACATTCTGTTTCTAAAGGCCCTGTCTCACTTACTACCATCTTAAACACAGATATAGAACTCCTCCTAGCTCCTGCCAGGTGCCCAATATTTTTTTGAATAAATGAGCAAAATCTGTATTATAAGTTTTGTGCCACTATTTAAAAACATCTTGCTTCTCTTCCACATCCAAAACTTGCCCTGTCCAAGGAGAACCAGTCACAGAGAGCCCATTGCTTAGCAGTATGTAACCATATTCATCTACTATTTTTCAGTTTCTTTTCCCCACTTGTGCCATTTTTATGCTTTTTTGGCCAGTCCTGGCTCTGTGCTCAGTGATCACTCCTGACAGGTCTCAGGGGATCATATGGGGGACCAGGGAGGATGACTGCATGCAAGACAAGTGCCCTGACCACTGTACTAGCTCTCCAGCCCAAGAGTTTTTATACTGTTTTCTCAGACAGGTCAGATTTTTTTCCACGTCCAGAATTTATGTACTTGCCATTAGATTTTTGGAGCACAGCAGGTCCTTGAATAACATTGTTTCCTCCAACATGGCTTTATGATAGTGTTGATGAGAAAAATCAATCTCAGCCAAGTGGAATGAAATGGTTTTATGCGAGGATCTGGCTTTCATTGTTTGATAGCTTTCATCTCATTGCAACTTGAAGTTGCACTATCTAAGACCCTAAATGGGGACTTACTATATTTACCACATTGCAGGAACAACAGTTTCTGTGTTTTTCTTTTTCCTAAAAAATATCTTTTATATTAGTGTGATGTGTGTTTTTAATTTTTCTTCTTAAGAATGTAGATATATTTGTGGGATATAAAAATCATGATATGAGACTAATATCCAAGGACAGAAGAAATAGAACCAGGTGGACTGGTCCACGGTTGGGAGCTTCCCACAGGTGTGTACGTGGTGGGCAGAGGCCATTAGGATAGCGAAAGGGGCAACTATGACAATAATAGTTGGAAATGATCACTCTGAACAAGAACTGAGTGCTAAAGGAGGTAAAGGAATATACATAATAACCTTTCAGTATCTGTATTGCAAACCATAATGCCCAAAAGGAAAGAGAGAGCAAGAGAGGGAGAGCAAGAGGGAGCGCGAGAGCGAGAGTGAGCAAGTGAGCGAGCAATATAGAGAGAGAGAGAGAGAGAGAGAGAGAAAGAGAGAGAGGTGCCTGCACTAGAGGTAGGTGGGGGTGAGTGGGTGAGTGGGTGAGTGGTTGGGTGGGTGGATGGGTGGGTTGGAGGCTGCAAGGGACTTGGGACATTAGTGGTGTGAAATGTTCACTGGTGGAGGGATGGGTATTGGAACACTGTACGACTGAAACCCAATCATGAATAATTTTGTAACTGTGTATCTCACCGTGATTCAATTAAAAAAAAAGAATTCAGATGTATTTTGCCCGTCATATGTGAAGACACTGTGGCAGGCAGTAACGTCCCCATGTTAGAGAGGAAAGTGCTCAGGAGACACTGTGTGTTCCCATTATTGTCACTCCATTGCCAGGGGTGGAAAGCTGGATCAAGAAACTGACCTCAGAATCATGAATACTTAATAAAATCATCCATGTAATGTAACTGACAGGTAGTAAGTACTCCCCAAGCTTAAATATTACCATAGTCACGGTTCCTCATTTTCTTTTTGTCCAAGAAGACAATATATTTTATTATTATTATTATTATTATTATTATTACTGGGCTGGAGAATAGCACAGCGGGTAGGGTGTTTGCCTTGCAGGTGGCCGACCAGGCCATCCCGGGTTCAATTCCTCTGCCCCTTTTGGAGAGTCCAGCAAGCTAGCGAGAGCATCTCACCTGCACAGCAAAGCCTGGCAAGCTACTCGTGACGTATTCGATATGCCAAACACAGTAACAATAATTCTCACATTGGAGATGTTACTGTACCCGCTTGAGCAAATTGATGAACAATGGGAGGATAGTGCTACAGTACTATTTATTATTATTATTATTATTGTTATTTATTAATGAATCACCATGAGGTACAGTTATAGATTTACAGACTTTCGTGCTTACATTTCAGTCATACAACACCCATCTCTCCACCAGTGCCCATTCACCACCACCAATATTTCCCAGTAACTCTCCCCACCTCCTACCCTTTCCCCCCTCCCACCTCCCACCTCTGTGGCAGGCACATTCCCTTTAACTTTCTCTCTCCTTTTGGGTGTTGTGCTTTGCAATACAGGTAGTAAGTGGCCATCATGTTTGGTTTATAGTTCATTTTCAGCACACATCTCCCATCCCTAGCAGGCCCTCCAAGCATCCTTTACTTGGTGGACCCTTCTCTACCTCAGCTGCCTTTTTCCCCAGCATAAGAGGCTGGCTCTCAAGCCATGGAGCAATCCTTTTGGTCCTTATCTCTACTATCCTTGGGTGTTAGTCTCCCATTCTGCTACTTTCTGTTTCACAAATGAGTGCAGTCCTTCTGTGTCTGTCCCTCTCTTTCTGACTAATCTCACTTAGCATGATACTCTCCATGTTGATCCACTTATATGCAAATTTCATGACTTCATCTTTTCTAACAGCTGCATAATATTCCATTGTGTAGATGTACCAAAGTTTCTTTAACCAGTCATCTGTTCTCGGGCACTTGGGATTTTTCCAGATTCTGGCTATTGTAAACAGTGCTTCAATGAACATAAAAGTGCAGATGTCATTTCTACTGTACTTTTTTGCATCTCCGGGATATATTCCCAGAAGTGATACTGCTGAGTGAAACGGGAGCTCAATTTCTAATTTTTTGAGAAACGTCCATAGTGTTTTCCAAAAGGGCTGAACCAGTTAGCATTCCCACTAGCAGTGAAAGAGAGTCCCTTTCTCTCCACATCCACACTAACATCGGTTGCTTTTGTTCTTTTGGATGTGAGTCACAGTTCCTCTTATTGCTCCAGTATCATCGGCCGCTCTCAGGTTTTCAGTATTTTGAGGATAGTGGTATGAGGGTTGTGGAAGTAACGGACCTGGAAACTGGAAACTGGATTTTCTGGAAACTCTAGACGAGCACAGACTTGGGGCTTTTTTTCATTCCTTCTGATAGGGATGGCTAGGGAGATCACTGTTTTTGGGATCGAGAAAATACTTTATACCTTGTCATACTAGAAAGTCTCTGGTAGAGACACTGGCAGAGCAATTCATATCATTTGCTCAGGCTCTTGTCTGATTCTCCAAATGACCCCGTGCAACAGGCCTAGTTCACTCAATCATAGATTTAAGGAAGCTGCTGTCCAGAGCCCAGAGCTGAATTGCAGTAAGAGGTTATCCTGTAGTGCAGTACTCCCGTCTTGGAATACGGTACTGCTCAGGGCCAGCCTCTGAAGGTTAAGAGGCATCGAGGCAGGGAGATAGTGCAGAGTCAGGGGGCATGACTAGTGTGTGTCTGGCCCAGATTCTAGTCGTGGTACCACATGGCTCCCTGAACATCACAGGTACAGTCTTGGAGATGCCCAGATTTGTTGAGGATAACCTGAGTATCCCCAGTACAGCATCGCACCCCTGGGCCCCTTGTGTTGAATTGATGGCTGGGTTGTCTGAGAATTCCCAGTGGAGCTCCTCTTGATCTCCTGGGCATCTCTTAGAAGATTCACCCCTTCCCCACGGGGAAAAAAAACAATTTTCACATTTCTTAACTACTTTTAAGTCATCTTGCTATTTGAGACTTTGACAAAAGCTAAAAACAGACAAAACCAAACCCAAAACTCCAACTTATAAATACTTTCCCAAATTTTTTTTGCTGCCAAAAAAGGAAAAAATATTCATGCTGTTTCTGGAACTCACAGAACCCCAAAAGTCATTGATGAAGCCCTTAGGAGCCCACCCACCTGGAATAAGGTTCTCTGCTTTCTGTGTTTCTGCAGCTCTCAGGACCATTAGGGGGTGGCAAGAAACTTGGAGTTGGTGGGATCACTTGCTTACATTCCTCAGGGAAGGCACCCTGAGGTCCCCACACTGTGTCCTAGTTGACCTGCGGTCTCTCCGGGGTCAGAGCCTTGCATCGACTCATTCCCTGCTAGTCAATACTGGGTGCTCTGATGGGCGTGCAGCAGATTGATGATGGAGGATGTGTGAATTTGCAACCTTCTTCTCCTTGCTTCCCATCTGAGCTTTACAATTGTCCTTTTTAAGCCACATCCCAGTGAGCTGGACCAGGAGGATGACCAGTTCAGGAGCATATTTGAGAAGCTTGCTGGGGAGGTGAGTAAAGGTCTGCTCCACCTCCTAGCGGACTGCAGGGGGTTGGAGATGGATTCTGGTAGTACTCAGGTGGCTGTTAGGTACTGTGGCTGGAACCTGGGTCTCCCACGCCCACTGATCCATCCCTCCAGCTCTGCACTGCCGGACATTGTCCAATCCCCTTCTTACCCCCACTCAGAGCCAAAGCTCGGTTTGTATCATTCCACATCTCTTTTTGCTCCTTGCCTTGTGGGTAGTCTGGGCCCTGCACGTGACTCTTCTGGTGAAGGAGAGTGAACATGGAGTGATCTGGCCAGAGTAGATGGCCTCGGCTGGCCAAGCTACTTGGATTGCAGGCATTTCATCTCTTTTGGTTTGTTTGGTTTTGGGCCACACCTGGCTATGCTCAGGGCTTACTTTTAGCTCTCTGCTCAGGGAGCACTCCTGGTGGGCTCTAGGGACCATATGGGGTACCAGGCATAGAACTTGCTGCATGCAAAGCAAGTGCCCTACCCACTGTACTATTGGTCTGGCCCCTGGACTGGATGCATTTTCGAAAGTCTTATTATTGGGACTGACTACTCTGTGCCTACTGGGTGAGCTGCCTTCTCGGGGAGGTTGGCAGGGTCTGACTTGGGGAAGCAGGACCAGTTACAGGGCCCAGATGAAACCCACATGTGCCCCTGGGAGGTGACCCAGGTGAGGCCGCACAGTCAGTGCCAGAGTCACAGTGGGAACTGGGTCTCAGTGGGGTCCCCTGTCTGTTCTGCGTCCATCTCCCTGCCTTGGTCTGGCCTGTAGCTGGGGTGGGGGGGGCGGTGAGTGATCAGTCTGCTCTTGGGCTCAGCGATCCTGCAAACACACTTGAGCTGGTCCTCTAAGGATGGACACTTGAACACCCAGTTTGAGATGGTACCTGTGTAAAATAACAGCGCTCCTGTCACCCTGGGTATGTTGGGAGTTGCAGGATTTAGGGGTTTGGGGGAGACAGGTTTGGTTCTATGGGCAGCTGGAAGTCAGGAGATCCCATCACATGAAACTGCATTGCACCCTGAGTGTATCTGGTGCCCTGTGCTTACAAAGAAAGGCCAGAACCCTGAGCACTCACTTACAAAGCCCAGCTTCTAAAATGAGCAGACTGGATCCCAGGGGAGGCCATTGGTACCTAGTGGCCCATTGGGGCTGGCTCTAGGGTGGTGACCCTGCACTTTACTCTCTGTTCTTATAGCCCCATAGTCCCCACCATGACAGCTCTCTCTCTTTGGGTATCCATTGTTCCTATCATTAAAGCACCTCTCCCATAAGGCTGTGGGAAATCGCAGAGAAAGAGGGAACTTGGTCCTGATTTTATTTTGAGGGATGGAGAAGGGAGGTGTTTGGGTCATACCCCGCCGTGCTCAGCGCTTCCTCCTGTCATTGGGCTCAGGATTCACTCCTAGAGATGCTCAGGGGACCATAGGTAATGCCGCAGAATCAAATTGGAGTTGGCTCCATGCTAAGCAAGTGCCTTACTCCCTGTACTAGCTCTCCAACCTCAGAAGTCTAGTTTTAAAGTGTTCCAGTCTATTAAAACCACAAGCTTTGTGGATCTGATTTCCGAAGAACTCTACCTTACTCAAACATCTTCAAACACATGCCAGGGAACCTGTGACTAAGACCTTTCTTTCTAGGATTCCGAGATTTGTGCCAATGAGCTTCAGACCATTTTGAATGGGGTGTTTTCCAGACGTAAGTTCCTTCTGGGGCCTTTTCAGTGAGTCTGCAGTGGTGGGGGAGGAGGGTGGGGCAGGTATGGGCTGGGGGCACTGCTTGGGAAGAGCACCTTTGTCTTTTACCCCCAGGGGTCTCATTCTAGCAGGTGGGAGAAGCCAGAGAAGAGGGGTCCTGGGCCAGGCTGCTGAGGCCAGCAGGGAGGAGTCCCATGCCTCATGACTCAGTGACCGTTTCCCAACAGACCTGTCACATGCATGCCGTGGGAAACCATGCACAGGATTCCTGAGTCTTTGGACAAGGACGGTGGGAGGGATCATTCTTAATCTTTCTGTTTTGTTTTTGGGCCACAACCAGTGGTGCTCTGGGGCTTTTTCTGGTGCTCTGCTCAGGAATCATTTCTGGCCATGCCCAGGAGACTATACAATGCTGGGGTTTGCATGGGGGTCAAATATGTGCAAGACAAACATCTAGCTCCTTGGTGCTATCTTCCTGGCCTGAGAGGGATTGTTCTAGACCATCCCAGACCACTATCTGCAGACTTGGACCAGTGATGGGTTGGAGGAAAAACTGACTTCCCACCTAGGAGGAAAGAATGACTCTGCCCAGCTGACCCCATGTGAGCTGGCATATACTGGCATGCTATAGACTCCCTTTCTGGCTCAGGGATGGCAGGTCCTCCAGCTTGTGGGAGTCAGGCATGCCTCCCTGCAGCCACAGGATGCAGGATGGGCCACGAGAAGAAGCACACAGAGGCCAGGGAGAAGTCAAGGGCAGCTTCCCAGGGGCCCAAGCCCCAGTGTGGTCTTGTGTTCTGTGTGCCCTTCCTACGGCTGCTGATGAGGAACTGCAAGAGTTGCCGATTGCAGGGCCAAGCACCTCCGTGGGCAGAGGAGGTGAGCGTGATCACGCCCAGAGCAGATGCTGCTGTTTGCTGAGAAAGACGATGGTGGTGCTCGGAGAGATGCTGCATCCAGGACAGATCAGTGGCTGTGCTTGCTGTCACCCTTCTCAGTTAGGGAAGGAAGCAGGCACAAGCAAACCAGGCTTGAAAGTTGCTGGGTTTTCTAGGCAAAACATAGAGAAAGTCAGGAAGGAAGGAATCTGTTCTTGGTCTCATTTTTGGGGGGGCGTAAAGAGGCCCTGAGCCTGAATCCATAAGGTACATGGAGAATGTAGGCAGAACCCCCCATCACACTGAAGCTAAAGGCATCTTTAAGGATGAAACACCACTGACCAAGCAAGTGGAGACAAACATAAACAAATGAGACCACATTAAACTAAGAAGCTTCTGCACCTCAAAAGGAACGGAGACCAAAATACAGACAAAGTTCAGGAAATGGGGAAAATATTTACCCAATACCCATCAGATGAGGGGTTAATATCTAGGATACACAAGACATTCGAGCCACTGTCCACTGTCCTCCCGTTGTTTATTCGATTTGCTTGAGCAGGTCCAGTAATATCTCCATTGTGAGACTTGTTACTGTGTTTGGCATATCGAATACATCACGGGTAGCTTGCCAGACTTTGCCGTGCAGGCGAAATACTCTCAGTAGCTTGCCGGGCTTTCTGAGAAGGGCAGAGGAATTGAACCCAGCTCGGCCAGGCCGGCGACTTACAAGGCAAATGCCCTACTGCTATGCTATTGCTCCAGCCATTAGTAGAACTATACAAGAAAAGGAAACCCAACCTTACCAAAAATGGGGAGAAGAAATGAACAGAAGCTTCCTCAAAAAAAAAATACAAATGGGCAAAAGGTACATAAAAAATGTTCTACATCTCTAATCATCAAGTAGATAATTATCAATGATGACTAACAATGAGTTATCATCTTACCCACAGAGATTGGCACACATCAAAAAGGAGAACAACCAGTCCAGCCTTTTTGGAAAACAATATGGACATCTCAAAAAATTACAAATTGCGCTTCCATATGACCCAGCAATACCACTTCTGGGAATATATCTCAAAAAAAGCACAGTAGAAATGACGTCTGCATCTGTATGCTCATTGCAGCACTGTTCACAATAGCCAGAATTTGGAAACAACTCAAGTGCTTGAGAACAGATAACTGGTTTAAGAAACTGTGGTACATCTACACAATGGATTACTATGCAGTTGTTTGAAAAGATGAAGTCATTAAATTTGCCTATAAGTGAATGGACTGGAGAGTACCATACTAAGTGAAATGAGTCAGAAAGAGAGGGACATACATAGAATGACTGCATTCATTTGTGTAATATAATATGAGACTAATACCTAAGGACAGTAGAGACAAGGGCCAGGAAGATTGCTCTACGGTTGGAAGCCTGCCTCATTAGCTGGGGGAGAAGGCAGCTAGGATAGAGAAGGTCACTAAGTCAATGATGGTTGGAGGAATCGCTCTGGATGGGAGATGTGTGCTGAAAGTCGATAAGGAACCAAACATGATGGCCTCTCAGTATCTGTTTTGCAAACCACAGTGCTCAAAAGTAGAGAGAGAATAAGAAGGAAATTGTCTGCCATGGAGGCAGGGGGTGGGTGTCGGGTGGGATGTCAGGAGAGATACTGGGGACATTGATGGTGGAAAATGTACACTAGTGGAGGGATTTGTGTTCGATCATTTTTTGACTGAAACTCAATTATGAAAGCTTTGTAACTGTTTCTCACAGTGATTCGATTAAAAAAAAAAGAGGCCCTTAGGAAGTGCTGGACTGGGGGAAGGAACTCAGGGTCTTCTCATGCAAGGCATTGTTCCAGCCCTCTGCACTCTCTCCTCTGCCCAGGGCTCACACATGTTTTCCTTAATCTTTTATTTTAAAATCTTATTTTAGGCCCTGTGATTGACTAGACTGTGCATGACAGGGTTTAGTCCATACAGTGTTCCAGCCCCTTCCCTCCACCGTCTCTGGTTCCCCCACCTCTGCTCCCAACCCCACATTCACCTCAATGTAAACCTCAGTTGTGTAGATCAGTTCTCAGGTTCTGTTGCCTTTGACCATTTCTTACTCCCTTACTATGCTGCTTTCTATCCCGCATAGGAGAGAGCTCATTCTGTGAGCTCCTCTCCTTCTGATTCATTTCCCTCAGCATGGTGGCCCTTCAGTTCCATCCACATTGTGACAAATGGTACAAATTCATCTTTTTAATTGCCAAGTAGTATTCCATTTTTACATGTGCCACAGTTTCTTTATCCAGCGGTCATCTGTTTTTGGATGCCTGGGTTATTTCAGAGTTTGACTATTGTGAATATTACCGCAGTGAATATTGGAGCACAAATTTCTTTTCTGAATAGAGCTTTTGTCTCTTGGGTAAGATGCCCCAAAGTGGGATTGTTGGGTCATATGAAATCTCAGTTCTTAGTTTTTTTGAGATGGGTCCAAACAGGTTGAACCAGTTCACCATAGCATGGAGCGGTGGTGTTTCCCTTGGCAAGTGCCCACACATGGCTTCCTATTTCATTAGCATGTTAAACCTCCACTCCCGGGCTTCACCTTTAGTATTAGTATGTGGGGAAAGTCACTGCAGGAGCAACACTGGGTCTCTCATGAGCTGCTTTAGCTCTTGTTTCTTCAAAGGAACCTCTCTCTCCCTCTGCACATTCCTGATGTACACAGCTCAGGAAGCCAAACATTGGTCTAAAGGGGGTTTCCCCAATATCTTGTTGTACTTGAAACTTGTGAGGTCACCCTACCCCAGCAGATTTTGGGTCCAGGGCTCCTTCAAGTGCTTTTGCTAGCTGCTCTTCCTTCTTTCATTCCTTCCTGGTGAGAAGGGAGATCTTGGACCTGGAGGTCACATGGTAACCCCAGCCCTGCTACCTCCTGCTCCTTTCTTCATAAGCGAATGATCTGAACTCTTGGGCTTCAGTCTCCTTTTCTGTGAAATGGGGATGATTTCTGTAGCCATTGCCTGAACATACCTGATCTCACCTCAAAGGGGGATGCTGATATCTATGCCGCAGGGCAGTTATCATTCTGTCTATTCCTATGGGGTACAGTTGAAGACCAGAGCCCAAATCCTAGTTTTCTGAAGCAGAGCTAGGATTCAGAGGCTTAAACCCAAGGACAGAGCACCCCTGAACTGCCTGCTAGGGTCTGAGGAACTGGGAGGTTCTGCCAAGGAGTCCCCTATCTTGTTCTCTCTCTCTGGGAAGCCTTCTCTGGGGCCTTTGGGAACCTCTCGGGGCCAGGAGCTAACTGTTTATACCCATCCACTCCACTCTTTGAATGATGCTGATTCTTGCCCCTGTTTCACTAAAATATCTAGGAGAGGACATAGAATTCGACGGATTTGACATTGACACTTGCAGAGAGATGGTCCGCCTGATGGACGTATCCTTGAAATGTCTCCAACCCTGAACTTGCCTCTGATTGCAAGGACTCTTCTCCCTCCAGGGTGAGAAATGGGAGGCTTGAGAAGGAAGACTGAAAATCTGGCTGAAGGTGCTGGGGGGTCCTGCTGTAGCTTTAGAAAATCCTTTGTATCACTTTTGTTCCTGAGTGAGTTTGAGATGATTCCCCTCTTTGACAGGTGGAGAAATTGATGCAGGCAGTACATAAGTGGTTTTTGAAAGTCTTCGGTGCAGAGAGAGTGAGGATGGGGCACCAAGGGCCATACTGTTAGCAACTCCAGCCCCGACCTCCTGATCAGTGTCTGAAGTACTACTGTTTAGAATGATCACAGTGGCTAAGACCTGCTTATTCTCTCTTATCAGCTTCCCGCTCATGTTGTGTTAAGGAATATGGGCGAGTGTTCAGAAGAAACAGAGGGGTTAGGGCATTCCAGGTGCAAGGGACATGGAAGGGGAAGGATGGAGTGACTCTTCCTGAAAACTGTCTTGGGTGGGTTTGGTTACTCTGCCCCATAGGGCTGGTGGTAAGGGCAATTTTTCCTTCCTTCCTTCCTTCCTTCCTTCCTTCCTTCCTTCCTTCCTTCCTTCCTCCCTCCCTCCCTCCCTCCCTCCTTCCTTCCTTCCTTCCTTCCTTCTGTTTTTCCTTCCCTCACTCCCTCCCTCTCCTTTCTTCTCTCTCTTTCCCTCCCTCTCCCTCTTTCTTTAATACCATATTCACCACCAGAGTATTCATTTCTTTCCACCACGGTTGCATAGTCCTTTCCCATTCAATACCCTCCCACTGCCCCCCATCCCTGCGGAATCCACAAACTCAGTCCTGTGAACCAACTCTCCACTTCTATTACCCTTTGTTGCTTCTCTACTGAACATCGTTAAGTCCCACATATATGAGGCACCAGTCTGCATCTACCCCTCTCCTCTGACTCACTTCACCCAGCGTAGTCCTTTCTAGTTCCATCCATGTCCAGCAGGCACTTTTTTGTGTGTGTATGGCTATATCTATCAATGCTTAAAGCTTATTCCTGACTTGAGCTCAGGGAACCTTCCTGGCAGGGCTTAAGGGACCATATCTGGTGCTGGGGATCCAACTCTGGTCAGCTATATGCAAGGCAAGTGTCCTACCCACTTCTCTATCACTCCAGCCCCAACACTGCATGTTTTAGAGCACTGCCAGCACCCAAGAGAGACTCTCCATCTCCATCAGCAGTTGCCTCTCTGCTTCCCCTCAAAACTCTCTCAACCTCCTACAAGACAAACACTGGTCTACATTCCACCTGTGTAACTTTGCCTGCCCTGTACGTTTCAAATAAAGGGAGTAGCATATAGGCTGTATTTGCATCTGGATTTTTTTTGTAGGAGCATGGGGAGAAGCACACCCAGGGATAATCAGGGGTTACCCCTGACTGTACTCAGAGGTAATTCTTGGTTAGGCTGGGGACCATCTGGGATGCTGGTGATTGAACCTAAGTCGGCCTATGTAAGACAAGCTCCCTACCCTCTGTACTGTCTCTCTGGCCCACCACCTGGATCTTTTCACAAAGACCTTTGTGTGGTCTTCACTGTGGCCTTTACAAAAAAGCAGGTTACTGAGTCTTAACCCTGGAGATACTCTTTCACGGGGTCTGGGATGGGTCTGATTTGCAGAAAATTCCATTTGAATGTGAAGGAGCTTTGAGGTTCTCGACTTTGGAAAAGACAGGCACCCACATTCACCTTTATTGACATGGGGGGATACACTGGAGGAAGTTACCCCATTCCCTGGGCCAAGTTTTTTTCTGGAAAACAGGCCAATGTGGCGATAGTGTAGCTGCACTGTGCACTGCCGTGCCATCTCCCTCCCTCCCTCGGCTGCTCCCATTCTGAGATGCTCCACCAGATGCATCATGACTAAGGGTCCCAAGACCGTGGCACATTCAGCGTGTGAATCCAGCATGTGGATCCAAGGACACAGGTTTTCTGAAAGGCTTAGGGGTAAACATGACAACTCTTGGCCAGGTTAGTTACAGGTGGCCGGCATGACAGTCTATTTCAGAACCACCATAAAGTGCAACCACGCTCATGCTCTTGCTGATTTGTGATGACTGGGAAAAAGGTAGAAGAGTTTCAGAGAAACTTGATTTCATGTGGGTGAGGACAGTTTCAAACCAAACCCTACCATCAGGAGAGAACCTGAGACTATTTCTAATAGTGTAAGTGTGCATGGGGTACACCGGGTACCTCCAAAAGCTGCCCACCAGTTTGGTTAGTGTGGGTAGTGTCCGTACCTCCGAGCCAGCTGTGCACTCAGGGCTGCCTCTAGGGGTCCTGGAGTCTGTGAGAAGTTCAGGGACACCCCTCATACTGCCCTGCAAAGTGTTGTGGCTGAGAATAATCCCCATCCCCGTGATATGTCTGACGACATTCAAGTGCACTAAGCAAGTACCGTCATGCCAGTGATTGACCCCAGACAGGTCTCTCTGGGACTGAGTTTCCAGACCTTTGAGCTCAACCTTCTCCCTGGAACTAAGGTTTAGACACCCCCCCCCCCCCCCCCCCGTCCACCCTTGGATCCTGTTTCAATCATGACATTGCCAGACGCACTCCTGGGGCCTTTGTTCCTCCATGTGCGTGTTCTGACTCTTTCATCTTAGTTTGAATCCATTTCTACCCTTCTACCCCTTCCCCTCATGATCCCCAGGGCCCCACTTCCTGCAGTCACAGGTGCTCTGCAGAGACCCCAGGGAAGACAACTACACTTGGGGGGCTGGACATGGTTGCATTGGCCTTGACCTGCCCAGAACGATGGCACAGCTACCCTGGGACTTCTGGAATCCAAGATTCTGTGGCTGAAGATGCGCAAGTATTTGGTAAGGCTTCTTCCCTGAGGGTCCCTGTGGGTCTTGTGTCTTCTCTTGACTGTCTATCCCCTCACACTCCTGAAACTCATTCCTTACTTTTTTTCCCATTCCAGTCAGACCAGGGTTCGAACAAACCCAAAATTTAAGAAAAAAAAATTCTGGGCCATACCTGGTACAGGGTACCATATGGGGAGATAGGATTGAACCCGGGTCAGTCATCTGCAAGACAAATGTCCTACCCATTGTGCTACCTCTCTGGCCCCAAATACAGAACGTGCCTGTGTTGTACATGGAGCTTCAGGAAGTCATAGAGCTACAGGGACCCCTGGAAGTACTCAGAAATCCATCACATCCCCCTCTGGGACTGGCAAATAATCATCATTTGGATTGATTAGGGAAAAAATGTTCGAAGAATTTGATTAATAACAGGACAAAATTTTTGGTGGGAGAAACCCAGAAAGACTAAGTGGCTCCACCCCCTCTCCCCCACTACTGCCCCATCTTAAACCACAGATAAGACAAAGGGGCTGAAAATGCATGGGTGTGTCCCAGATTAATAGAAAGAGTCTGGGGACAGGCATGGTATTTACCTTGCACATAGCTGACCGAGGTTCTATCCCCAGCATCCTGTATGGTCCCCGAGCACCACCAGGAGTAATTCCTTTTAAGGAGTAAGCCCTGAGCATCACCGGATGTGCCCCCTCCCAAACAAAATAAAACAAAACAGAACAAGTTTATTTTTTTTCACTTGAGAGTCTCTCTGAAAGGCAGCCGGGCCTACAGTATGATTCCTGTACTATTAGACTTTTACCAAAAAGAACCAGCTTGGGGGTGGCAGATTTCTGCTTTCCCCTACATGTCCACATCTTTATCAGAAGCCCTGACATTCAAAGATAGATGATTCTTTGTTCTGAAATGTGTGGGAGTGCGATGGGGAGTGGGGGTGGGGTGGTCTCCTCATTGAGGTTGTCCCTGAATTGTCCGAGGAAGCAGTGAGAGGGATATCTCTGGTGGGGGATCCTAAATGCCTTATACACCACTTTTCTTCCTGCATTAGGAGATTTATCTGGAAGCCGATGATGACCATTCAGGCACCATGGATGCTCATGAGATGAGGACAGCACTCTTGAAGGCCGGTGAGGACATAGTCTGTGATTAAGGTCTTGGTGCCAGATGTGTCCCTCTTATTTTATCTATTTATTTTTGTTCTGTGCTCAGGGTTTGAGGGCTGGAGTGATAGCACAGTGGGTAGGGCGTTTGCCTTGCACGCGGCTGACCCGGGTTCAATTCCTCAGTCCCTCTCAGAGAGCCCGGCAAGCTATCAAGAGTATCCTGCCTGCACAGCAGAGCCTGGCAAGGTACCCATGGTGTATATGATATGCCAAAAAGACTAACAAGTCTCACAATGGAGACATTACTGGTGCCTGCTCGAGCAAATCGATGAACAATGGGAGGACAATGCTACAGTGCTACAGTTCTCAGGGTTTGAACCAGGGTTGGCCACATGTGTCTAAGTCAGTGTCTTACCTTACCCTGCACTCTCTCTCCTGCCCCTGACATGCCCCTTTCAACTACTGTTATCATGAATGGGAGAATCACTGGTCTCAATGATCTTCTGTCCCGTGTCAGTGTGACCCAACCCATCGGTGGTACCCTGTCTCAGAGCAGGGCCATGGCTGGGTTCCACACAGCTGGGCTAGACTTTCCCCTGGGACTATGCCTACTTCAGCAGTCACAGATGGGGGCGCTGTGGAGAGGCGGGTGAGACTCATCTCTGCCAGCCTCGTGGTGGCAAATGGGACCATGGCTGTGTTGGTTGGTGTTGGAATTGCAGGTCCCAGGCAAAGGTCCATCCTGACCCAGGAGACCAGATGACACTTCTGGTAGTCCTCGGAGGGGATGCAGAGCCAGGCCTGGTCTCTGCAAGGTTGGTCCCTGAAGTTTTCCTGGAGTCTCGGAGAGCCCTTTCTGCCCCAGTGACCAGGCCCCCTCTGCCCTCAGGCTTTACCCTCAATGACCAGGTGCAGCAGACAATCGCCATGCGCTTTGCAAACAGCAAACTCCGCATCAGCTTCGACAGCTTTGTGGCCTGCATGATTCGCCTGGAGACGCTCTTCAGTGAGTCTCTGTCCTCCAGCTCCATCTCCCTCCCGAGCTTTGTGGGGTGGGGGGCAGTGGAGGGGGCCGGTCGTGTCTCTGGAGTCTGCAAGAAGAAACCACTGTGGTATCCTGGAGAGTCACAGCAGAAGCCAAAGGGACTGGACTACACATGGGGCCATGCAAGGTCAGAGGCAGCCTTTCTCAGAGACTAAGGGATTGAGTGCTAGCTGCTGGGCGGGGGCAGACACATGACCGCAAAGTGACCATCTTGCTGGCATGGCCAGGAGAAGGGGTTTTTCTTACAGAGAAAGAGAATAGGGATGTCCGGTTTTAGGAAGGGTGGGCGCAGACCTGTGGGCACCACCACCAATGAATGCCTCTGTGGGCTAGTCCCTGGAGGCATCCTCTGTCTGATAAGCAAACCTGATCAGCAGGAGTCTGCCCGGAAGAGCTGGTGGCCATTCAGTGCTTGCTTGTTTTTCTTCCTTTTATGTTTTTTTTGGGCCACACCTGATGGTGTTTGGGGAACCCTGGGGGAGCCAGAGATGAAGTTCGGGGCTCCTGCATGTGAAGCGCGTGCTCCAGCCCCTTGCACATTGCCCAGGCCCACAGCAACTTTATTTCTCTTGGGCCAGCTTCAAGTTTTGAGTGCAAAAGACCAGAGATGAAGCTGCAGGGACAATGTCCACAACCTGGGAAAGCCATTGTGAGTTCCACATGGCACCCCGTGTTAAAGGAATAATGACAGTCTCCCAGAGGCCCCCAGGGCAGCGATGGCAAAGGCACCATTTCTGCTCACTTGTAGAAGTCTTTATTATTATTATTATTTTATTATTTACTTATTTTTTGTAATGGATCCCCATGAGGTACAATTACAGACTTACAAACTTTTGTGGTTACATTTCAGTTATACAATATTAGAGTACCCATCCCTCCACCAGTGCCCATCCTCCACCACCAATGGTCCCAGTGTGCCTCCCCCAACTCCCACCTCATTCCCCACACCCCACCCCACTTCTGTGGCAGGGCATTCCCTTTTGCTCTCTCTCTTTCTCATTTTGGGTGTTGTACTTTGCAATAGAGGTATTGAGTGGCCATCATGTTCGGTCTGTACTCTATTTTCAGAACACATCTCCCACCCCAAGTGGGCCCTCCAAGCACTCTTTACTTAGTGGTCCCTTATCTATCTGAGCTGCCTTTTCCCCCAGCGTATGTCACTCCTAGAAGTGTGTTCAGTAGGTAGGACAACCTCTGCGGCCCCAAAGTGTCACTCCAGCACCAATTCTGCTTCGAGAGGTTCAGAGTCCCCACAGTCATGGGGGAGCTGGGGAGGATGTTGGTGTGCAGGGGAAGGGGGCGGCTTGCACAGGAGCTGGGATGGAGAGGGTCTCTCTGATGGTTCCCAAGTTCAGGACACCCTTTTCTCACTTCATTCTGCCTTTGGCATTTTAGAATTGTTCAGCGTTCTGGACAAGGACAAGAGTGGCGTGGTCCAGCTCTCTCTGGCTGAGGTAAGTAGTTTGAGGTGGGGTGATGAGGTAGTTGAGGTGCAGAGCAGCGGTTAGTCACACCGCCCTGTCTAATGTCTCCCTGCACTCAGGACAGGCTGTGGGCAGAGGAAAGGGCTTTCCCTGCATGCTCAAACAGTCTCACTTGTTAGCATCCTCACAGGAAGGCCACCACGCCACATGGTTGATCACACCAAGGAGGCAACCCCCTGTTAGTTTTCTCGAGATGTGAGTGGTGGGCACAAAATTTCAAGGTTCTGATCCTTGAAATCTTGGACCCCATGTCTTAAAGTAACAGATTAGTAGGGCAGGAGAAATAAAACCATTTTCAACCAGGGAAAATGATGAGGCAACATAAACGAGGGTTTCCTCTGTCGAAGTATATGGGTACACAGGCCTTTTCTACACATACCCCTATTTTCATCAGTTCCTCTTGGGTGAAACCTTGTTCTGAGTCCCATATCTACAGTGCTCTGACCCGGGGGTGGTGCCCTTAGCAAAGAGATTCTGTGTTCCTATGGTTACCTGCTGAAGGTCAGAGATTGGGGTACAGAGTGGTCCCACACACAAACAGGTAACACAGAGAAGGTCACTTCCGTAGCCTCAACAACTCCTGAGCGGTGTGAGCTCATTGTGGCCCCTTCCTTTGCAGTGGCTGTGCTGTGCATTGGCCTGACCAGGCCGTGGCCCTCTGTGATGTTCCTTGCCTGCCCGTCTTCATCTTTGCTTCCCTGGACAACTGTGTGCACGTGTATCCTCTTGCAGCTATTGTTGGTTCTTCTTATCTCCCTTGTTTGTCATGGTCCCTGAGATTCACCTCCACACGCCCCCCATCCCCAACCATCTCCTCCCCCTGTTCCTTCTCTGGAGCAATCTGGAAAGTCCAGTCCCGTGTCTTGCACAGCAGCAGTATTTAACCTGACCCTTGAACCCAGTGGAAGAAAAATCAATTAAAGCTGCGGAGAGAAAAAAAAAAAAGTTTCTGCTTCTCTCTTGTGATAACAGCCTGGGCAGTGCCTGGGCTTTTCATGCTTTTGGATGACACAGATCAAAGCTGCTGAGAGGCAGAGAATGTGGGTGGCTTCCTGGGGAGAGGCATGAGTGAGGCACTGCCTTGGGGACCTGCCCTCAGCAAAGGAGCCCTCCGGAGTCTGCTGTGTTGTCTTTTTGTTTGTTTTTGAGCCCCACCTGGCGATGCTCAGGGGTTCTTCCTGGCTCTACACTCAGGAATGACTCTTGGCGGTGCTTGCAGGACCATATGGGATGCTGGGATCTAACCTGAGTTGGCCATGTGCAAGGAAAACACCCTACCTGCTGTACTATCACTCTGGCTCGGTGGCATTTTTTCACAGGAAGAAGGTGCCAGGCTGTGCAAATGCTTCAACCTCTGCAGGAAAGTTCTCCATGAGGAGGGATGGACAAGTCTCATTAGTCTGGCTCACAAGGATCTTTGGTGTCAGGAAATAGATGCCACCACTGAGTGTCCTATGGGTATTTGTGGGCAGAGCTGTGTCTCATAGGCAGACTGGTTGGTGGGTTTGTTTTGGAGTCATGCCTGGCAGTGCTTAGGGATTACTCCTGACCCAGTGCTCAGGGGTGACTCTAGGAAACCCTCAAAGAATGGCGCCAGGGATTAGACCCAGTTCCAGTGCGTGCAAGACAAACATCCTATTTGCTGCATTATCACTCCAGCCCATTTGAATGCAGACTTTGGGAATGAACTATAAAAGTGGAAGTTGTTTTGTTGCTCCAGGATGCTCTAAGAAGCACCACAGGCTATGGATGTGACAGAGCCATGCAGGACCTGCAGAGTCAGGTCGGGCCTGGAGGCTACCAAGCCTAGGTAGAAAGGAGGGGAATCCTCCCAGCCTGTTCCTCAAAGGCCTCGGAGCTACCTGGGAGATGGAGCTACCTGGACAGGTAGCACAGTGAGCAGAGTTCAGGAGCTGCGAACCTGCTTCCACCCCCTATAAATTTCATTAGGATCCAGCATCTCATATAGATACAAAAATAAAAGAGAAAAATATGTTTTTCTCTTTTGATGACAGCTCTATGCTCTTCCTCTTTCCTATCTATCACACAGTGTGGCTTGTTGGAGTTGTAACTATACATTAAGTCCCCGGGTCTCTTGTCTGTCTGAGAGATGGACGTTCCTCCCTCTGCCCCTGTCATCCAGCCCTCCACCCCCTCAATCTGGTTTCTCTCTCTCTCTCTCTCTCTCTCTCTCTCTCTCTCTCTCTCTGTCTGTCTCTCCCTCTCTCTCTCTTTCTCTCTCTCTCCCTCTCTCTCTGTCTCTCCCTCTCTCTCTCTTTCTCTCTCTCTCTTTCTCTCTCTCTCCCTCTCTCTCTCTCTGCTCTCACATGGAAGTGAGAACTTACCATTTTGTCTTTCTTTATCACTTAGATTAATGTCCTCGAGGTCCACCCATGTTGTCATCACAGATAACCTTTTGTTTTCCCTCTCTCCAATTTTAAAAATTGATCATAACTTAGGTAATATGAAAACAATAGTGCTCATGTTTGTGGTATTGATGTTGCTCCCAGTGGTGCTCAGATGTTCCTCCTGGCTCTGCACTCAGGGATCATTCCTGGTGGGGCTCCAGGGACCATATGACGAGGTGGTGGGGATTGAACTGGGGTTGGCTTACATGTGCCTTAACTTCTGTACCATCTCTTTGAGCTCAGGTTTCATTTTTTATCTTATTTTTAATTTTTCTTATTTTTACAGGGGGTCCCCTAGTATTGCTCATGTGGTCACTTCTGGCACTTTCCAGCCAAGTAAAGCTTGCCACAAGTTGGGGGTGGGAGCAAAGACAGTTAGGGCAGAGAATCACTATGACAAATATAGTTGGAAAAGATCACCCTGGGCAATAACTGAGTACTGAAAGGAAGTAAAATGATATACATGGTAACCTTTCAGTACCTGTATTACAAACTATAATGCCCAAGAGGAGAGAGAGAGAGAGACAGAGAGAGAGAGAGTATAGAGAGAGGGAGAAGGAAGGTATTTGCCCTAGAGTCAGGCTGTGTGTGTTGAGGGGATGGCAGGAGGGAAACTGCGAACACTGGTGGTGGAAAATTGGGAAATGTGCACTGTTGAAGAGATGGATGTTGGAACATTGTATAACTGAAATCTAATCATGAATAACTTTGTAACTGTATTTCACAGTGAGTCGATTTAAAAACAAATTTTATTTTTCAAACAACCAGGTCATGTGGTCAAATGCATAGAATGTTCCTTGGCCCTGCAGTGCTGGGAATGACCAGGTCACCCTAAGGGTGCTCTGGGGCCTGTAGAACTGTGTCTGGCAATGCTCTGGGCCCTTGGTGGGGGTTTTATTTTTGAGTCCTATGCTTTTCAAGCACTTTGGGGAATATTCATATGACCATAAACCAAAGCATGTCCCATCTCATTTCAAAGACATGCATTTGCTTGTGGGGGTGCATCTCGGCACCAGGTAAGAGCTGACTTGGAGCCTCCTTACAATATAGTCTGCGTAATGCATCATAGCTGTCCTCTCATAAAGAATTCACATTATCGCCCCCCTCCCCAACCCCCATTAAGGCAGCGGGAGGGGTGTTGCTATTGGGTGTGGCCTCCTTATTGCCCCTCTGATGACCTGGTTCAGAGGAACTCATCCCTCCTGAAAACCATGATGCCAGGACGGCTCCCACCACATGCTGCCCTCCCTGACAGCCTCTGCCCACTGGCTGACACGGCCCAATTAACAGCTGGTCTGTCTCATTCCCAGAGGACACTGCTGTGGCCGCTTCTTTACCTCTCCCAGAGCATAGCCCTGCACCTGGCCCACAGTGGATACTCAGTGAGTCCACACTCAACCTTCCCTTTGCAAAGGAGGTGCTGGGAGGACAGGCCTCTCTCTGTGTTTGGGGAGAGGATACCTTTGCAGAGGTCATTCCTCCAGACTGAAAGGGACCTTTCCTGGGGCAGGAAGACAGCGGGGCATGAACTGCAGAGACACCATTTTAGAAACCAGACCCTCAGGGCCCAGTGTGGAGACCCTGGGATTTGCTACCATCTGCTGAAACTTGGCTTTTTTTTTCCTTTTTTTTCTTCCTTCCTTCCCTCCCTCCCTCCCTCCCTCCCTTCCTCCTTTTCTCCCTCCCTCCCTCCCCCCTCCCTCTCCTCCTTTCTTTCTTTTATATTTTTTTTGGCCACAACCAGCAGTGCTCAGGGAATATTCCTGGCTCTGTGCTCAGGTATGACCCCTGGCAGTAATTGAGGGGATGCATGGTATCAGAGATTTGAACTGGGGTCAGTCACCTGCAAGGCAAATGCCTTATCAACTGTGAAACTTGGCCTTTTCTTTGTGAAACCATATCTTATTATTCCTGATTACATTCCCATGTTTACCTCATAAATTTTTTTCTATTAAGATCGTTTGATTTGTTATCATTGATCAAGTTTCATGTAGTGTATACATTTACATATCATGCATTATTGATATGTACGTAGATGTAATATAAATATAAGTAAAATAACTATACTGAAGTCTCATATATTATCAAGTAGAATATTTTAAAACATATTTTTCCATATTTGATGTTATTTTGTTGAAAAGTTTTTATATTGGGGACTAGGGGTGAGTAAATCATTGGTACCGTGACATTTTGTCCCATGACACAGCTCTCTGAATGGATATTTTCCTCACATGGCCACAATTCTATTACCTAACCGAACAATTATTATTTTTATCTCCTCTCATAAACATTCAGATCTTCTAGAAAGCCTTTGAAATGCAATTTTGCAGTTGGGTTATTGGAAATGAGAGTCCAACCGGGGCCTCGCCTGCCCCTTTTCATTTAGAGTGGCCTTTCCTTTTTCTTGCCATTGAATGATGAATGAATACTTGCACTTTTAAGAAATAGAGTGGGAAAGATGAATCTACTCTTTCAGCTTCTCAGCTCATTGCACTTCTCCAGAAAGACCCTACCACACACACCCGTAGGCTGAGGTGTTCCTGTCTAGAGCTCTTCACCCATCCAAACCTGTTGGGTCTCACATGTCCTGCTCAGCCCTGTTGGCTGCTGGGCTGTCTGGGTCTAGGGCAGCCCTGTCCCAGCGTGGTCCACACTGGATGTAGCTCAGGTCTCTTCTTCTCCTGGATCCCTGTCGGCCAGGAGTTTCTCCTCGGCCTTCTAGTAATCAGGAAAATAGACCCATGCCCACATTTCAGACAGGCTAACTGCAAGCAGGCTAACACTGAGAGCAGAAGCTGCCAACGTACTGTGTCTGGGAGACATGACATAACCATGGGGTGTACTGGGAATGTCCTTGAGATGGCCATTGTTTTGTTTCGCATCCTTGGGATTTTAGATGGCTCTGTGGTTCAATGCAAAAGGTATAAGCCTTTCCATTATGGTTCACTGAATTCAATCAATTCCACAAGAAAGAGAGGATTTGACGTGAAAGGCATTATTATCTGATGATGAAATTCAAACCCAGATTAGCCTGCCTGTGCTCTGGAAGGGGGCACTGCCTGAGAGCCTATTCCAGAACCTCATGTGCTGGCAAATGTTGGCACAGAAGCCCTCTCCTGGCTGCTCTTGTTGCCCCCTGGGCTCCTCCTGGTGAACTGAGAGGCCTGCCCTCTTCATCTCTGGGCAGTGGCTGGGCTGGGATCTGGGGGGTCACACGGTTGCCCTGAATGATGCA